AACAGAATCAACATCCAGCTAATATACCTGGACACCAACTTCTGCATCTTCTAGGGGACATCAAGAAAGCCAGAACTGTGGGTATCTCCTCTGCTAAGATGGGAAATTTAAGCAAAGGAAACAGTGTAAAGAGAAGATGCTCAGAGTAGGAGCAGCATGGCCCAGGCTGCCTCCTGGGGAAGGACACTGTCACCAGCCAGCAAAAATGTCCCCATATTCCTGACATCTTAGAAAAGTTGGTCATCTCTGCCACTATGACTTAACATCATCGTGTGTCTTGTGCACACCAGGCTGGAGGGGACAGAAAAGACCCCAGAGCTTGGAGTAGGAACATCTGGTATGAAGTCCCAACCCTTAGACAGATCACTCAGCCTCCCTGAGCTTCACTGTCTACGTTAGCCTGAGCTAGTGCTGTACAGTTGATCAGAATGTCATGGAGGGAGTGGACAACCAATCAAGGCCCCGGAAATGAGTGACTGGGGTGTCCACAATGCTCACAGCAGCATCCAGCGGAACAACATATTAATATCAACTACTCTTTGCTAGAACTTTGAGGTACCTTTCTTAAATCCCACCTCATTAAATCCTCCTCTACCAGCATGAGGCCAGTATCACAGGCATTTCACAAGTGGAAACACTCAAGTTTAGAGAGGTAGTCATGTGCCCCAAACAGCAGGAATCCGACTACTACCTCCCTAGGACCCAGGTTTGTCCAAAAAGATGAACTTGCCCTCGGTGTCCAGTTCCTGGGTTCATGGCCGCATTTCCGCCCTACAGCTTGAGCACCACCTGAGTCCTTGACAAATAAATCTCAGACATGAGTCCACCTCACACTGTGTTCTGCAGCCTTCATACTCTGAACCCCCCAGGTTCGGTGTGTCCCCCTGGAGGTGGGTCACAGCTATCACCAGAGCTACCCAGAGACACCCTATCTCACAAAAGCAAAAACAAAACAAAACAGCTCTGATACTGGCTGTAATATGATTGACCTGAACACTGTGCTCTGAGCAGGAAAAGACCAGAGAGAAATGGACAGATGTTTCACTCTGCCTGCACAAGGTACCCAGAGTGACCAAATGAAGCAGAAGGTACATCCACCAGGGAGGGTGGATGAAGAGCCATTCAGTGCTCTGGCTGATGCAAAGCTCTGAAGACGGTGGAGGAAATGTCTGTGTGCATAGTGGGTGCGCAACTAGGCCATGGAACTGCGTACCCAGGTATGGTTGGAAGATGTATACTGTGTATGTGTAACACAGTTCATAACAAAGCAAAACAAACACAAAAAAAACCCACAGCCTCCTGTGCTACTAAGTTACTCCCAAATCAGTTTCAAAGTCGTGTCACTCACAGTCCTCAACAGAATGTCCCTCATTTCTTAGATGGCCATGCAGGCCGGATGCTGCTGGTGGAGCCATCTGCTCCAAGGGGACTTATCTGAGGTTAGACAAGTGGTGTATAAACCAGTGTGGACATTTGTTAGGCAATGGAAACATTCATTAGCCAATATGGACACACCATTAGCTGTGTGGATACACATTAGCCAGTGTGGACACTAACTAGCCTGTATGGACACTCCTTAGCCCATGTGGATACTCAGTAGCCAGTGTGGATACTTGCTAACCAGTGTGGACATCCAGAGAGGGTCTCAGAAAGCACCAAGGGAACAGAAGTAGCCTTGTCACTGTGCATTCTTTACAACATGCTTCCCCTTGGAGCATGTGTTTCAACTTTGTCTTAATATTAAGAAGGCAAAAGGAGATAGCGCTAAGCAAACCGATACATTTTAGAGCCTCTGCAGCTAAGACTGATGAATTGCTTTTGAGAATGGAATGTGCTGTTCCTATGTGCACAGAATATTAAGCCTGCTTTGTCTCAAACTGGTTTTCCAAATCCATGTAACCCTGAATCCAGCTAAAAAGCGATATTAGGAGAATGTGAGTAGACAAAGGTATTGCGACTGGTCATGGCCCTGCTCTGCTGTGTGGCTTAAGGCAAGTTGATTGCCCTCTCTGTCTGTTTCACAGAGTTACTGTAAAGATCAGATGAAACTGAATGAGAAGACTGTTAACTGTCAACTGCTGAACACTGTCACCATTATTATTGTCGTTGTTATTGTTTTATATTAGTAATGTGACATCTATTCATTAGAGATTTTAACTGTCCTTTGAAGTGATCTCCTGGAATGGGGAGAGGTTCTCTCTGTTGAATTCATTGGCTCTTCATTAAACTTTTGTGTTTTCGGTAGTTTTAGGTTCAACATAAAATGTCTTGGAGAGTCCAGAGCACTCTTGGATACCACTTGCAGTTCCCTGACTCCCCCACTATGAGCATTCATTTTTGGGAAAGTACAATTCAAACCTGACTTCAGAAACATGGGTCATAATCTGCAAACAGCTTTGGTATTGCTGGAGCGCTGGAGCTTAGAGCTTGTTATAGCAACAAATCCTGACTCATCCTAATTCACATGTAGCCAGGAAGCCAGAACAGACAGGAAGGCGTCCTGAGCCCAGCCCAGTTTTAACTATACTGCAATGCTGTTATTATGGGGACTGAAAGGAAAAACCCTTAAAGTTGCATCAGAACACACAAGAATTGAGTGGCAGATTCTTGTGATTTTTGAACACCAAGCCATTGATTTCACATTAGTTTCTTTCTTTTTCTAAAATTAATATTTTTTTACAAGGTCTCACTCTATATCCCTGGCTGGCCTGGAACTCATTACGTAGACCAGCCTGGCCTTGAGCTAGATCCCCCGTCCCTGGGATTAAAGATGTGCGTCACCATGCTCAGCTTTGCTTTCTTAAGCTGTCAGAGACACAGGCTGGTTATGGTCTGCCCCCAGCTCCATCCTCAACCCCTGCCTGCTTCGTGGTATCTGATACATTGCTTCGCAATCACCAGACTATTTGCCAGGGTCTTTTGGAGACTGCATGTCTTCATGGCTGGCTCATGCACATAGCATAGGACCAGACACTGGGCCCTGCTGAGCAGGTTTGTGGTTTCACAGTGGGTCAGGAATAGTGTGATTTAAGGATAGGCTTAAAAGTGAAAGGCATTTTAACGCACCTGTCACTTTCCAGAACACAGAGCAACCTGCTGTCTGTGATACAGAAGTCCTTAGGCTATTGTTTACATTTCAAGTCCCATGGTTTAAATTCTAGGGAACCAAGAATGGTGGCCTGGAGAGACAGCTCCAAGTAAGAGCACATACAGCTCTTGCTTGCAGAAGAACCGTGTTTGGTTTCTATAACTATCATCCAGCGAGTTGCAACAGCCTGTAAATCCAGTTCCAGGAGCCCTGACATTTCTGGCCTCTGAGGGCACCAGCATGCATGTCGAACAGATGTAGCCATCCAGCAGCCATGGACAAACTGAGATCACCTGAAAGGAGGGCTAGAAATGAAAAAGAGACAGAGGGGTGTGAAAAACATGGAGCCGAGACAAAGCTTTCTGGTCAAGACTCAAAGTTTAGTATTCATCACTTGTATATACAGGGAACTAACTCCATCCTTTGTTTCAGCTGGATTATGTTGAAAGACAAGCTCAGTGCCCAGTCTATTCTTCTTAGTTCCTGTAGGAAGACTCACCTCCAGCCAGGGTGGATAACTCCACCTAGGTCCTATTGTAGCAAGGTCTATTGTGGTAAACAAGGTCTTTCTGGTCTGCTCAAGGCTGGGGGAGGGTACAATTCCTCCTTTTCAGTTTTTTAAAGATGAGCAGTACCTATAACTGGACGGAGGGCACAAGATTTACTTGTTTTCCATCATCCTGTCTAGGGTAGAGTGGCCAGGCGATCATGCCTGTCTTAGGTCAGTGTCTATATTGCTCCTTATTACCCAGTAGGGAGAACACATATAACATTGACGTATGCCTCTGTCTTAGGTCTATAGGAGCTCAAGAACACTCTTATCCATCTTTGACTACCAGCCTTCTATGGCACAGTCTTTCCCATACAGACCAAAGCCACATATGAATTGAGACCAAAGAATCTATGAGCATGCACTCAATGCATTTCTTAATAGTGATGGATAACTGCCATGGTGAATAGCTGAGCTTGATGAAAGCAATCTTGCGCGAAGGCAACCAATCTGTTCAAAAGACAAGGTCCAAAAGTTAAAAGCAACAAGATTATAATTGATGGGCCGAACAGTGTAGAAATTAAAGTTATAAGCGGGAATGTTCCAGGTGTCTAATCCCGCTGCTAATTGACAAGGATCAAGCACAAAGTCTGGCCACCAGGTGACTTTGAGTATTGATAAAAAACACTCTCCAGTAAGAGTGGAGACTACAGTCCAGGTTAACTCAGCTGGCTGATCGGGATTCTGAGCCACCTTCCTCTTTAGAATCATAATCAATTAGGCTCAAGATCTGTATCCACTTGACAGACCAATCTTTCAGGAAACCGTCAAGCTCCATTTTCTTTTTGTGAAAAAGCACATACAGAACCTCGGCCCCATATTAAAACAGGGTCAGGACCATTCCATGTATTAGTTAGGGGGTCTCTCCATTTAACTCTGGCAAATGAGCTGGAAGTGACTGGATGCCAGTGGCGATCTGCTGCAGACTGACCTTTAGCATCAGTTTGCAAAAAATTTAAAACAAATAAGACAAAAGCAAGGTGTGCTTTCGGTGACCTTGGAGGGTATAACTCCCCCTCTTTCGTTTTTAAAAGCCAATTTTTTAGAGTTTCTTGCAAAACCAGGGCAGAAGCACCAGTTGCCACTCCTCCCTCAGTCAGAGAGTTATGCATACACGTGGATACATAATTTAAAATAAATCTTAAAAAAGAAAACAACTAAGAGTGGTCTCTTGCAACTTTGAGCTTTCACAGTTTGGGAGCTGTGGATATAAACAGTTGTTTTCACATAGGTCTCAGATTCGGATCCCTAGTTTCTGAGAAGCTGGCAAAGTGAACTTCTAACACATCAAATCACAAACTTAAGATGTCAGAGAATGTGTATTTTGTAAAAGGTTTTGCTTTTATTCCCTCCCCCTTTTAGATGCAGATGTTGGACAAGTTTCCCATGGAAGGAGGGCAGAAGGACCCCAAGCAGAGGATCATTCCATTTCTGCCAGGTGGGTAAGGTGTACACTCTTGGACAGGGCAAGCCTGGTCACCTGAAGAACAGCTCCTGGTCCCTGGAAGAGCACATGAGCTCATCTCCACATCACTGTTGGGGGAGGGGTGTTGTTTCTCTCCTAGTTTGCTTCTGTTGCTATGATTAACACCACTACCAAAAAATGACTTGTAGAGGAAGGGGTTTATTTCGTGTTCCATGTCTCCATCACTGACTATCATAGGGAAAGGTAAAGCGAGAACTGAAGCTGAGACCAAGAAGGACGCTGGCTCACCCACCATGGCTTGCTCGGCTTGCTTTCTTATATAGTCCAGGACCTCCTGCCTAGAGGTGGCACCACCCACAGTGGGCTGAGCCCTACCACAACAATTAGTAATTAATAACATCATACACACACACACACACACACACACACACACTTCCTCCCACAGGCCAGTCTGATGGAGGCATAGAAATTTTCTGACACTTCAGATCCTTCTAACCTCCCTGTCAGAGAATACTGTCTGCATAGAATGGTTCCTGTGGTTTGCATGCTGATCCAGGATAATGTAAGGCATGGACTAGCCCATCACATCCACAGGCTCTGCGGATTACGGCAGGACATGTTAGGATCATGGTACCAAGCACCTCGAGTGCCAGCTGTTATACCAGCTGCTGCAAAGGGTGTACTACAGTCCTGGCTAGTACTTGTGTACACACCCAGCTCCCCCGAGGCCCCAGCCCTACCAAAGAGTAATGTCAAGACTTTAGATGAAAAGGAGGAATTATGCAGAATAGAACCTGCTCCATGTTCCAGCAACTGCTACTTACAGCTGTCACGGGTGCCAGCACTGCTAAGCGATTTACATTATATCCCAGCCCATTCCCAGCCCTCCAGGTAGTCAGCTCCACACCCCTGTCACACAGGAGGAACTAAGGTCCAGAGGAAGTACAAACACATGCGTAGATGGCAGATCTGGGATGCAAACAGAGATGCTGGCTCCAACCTTCGTGCCTGGAGTCACTTCTAACTCTGTCACCTCGGGCACACACACACCCAACCTCGGCAAATGACTTAGTAGCACGTGTTTGATTTTCTTTCTTGCAAATTGGAGATGAGAATGGTCCTGTAAAGATGGTGCCAGTGAAGACTGTAAATGTCTGGCAGGTCACTGAGGTCATCCCTCACTTGATGTTACACATGTAAGATGGGCACACTGACCCCAGGTATCCGTGGTTTGGAGAGCTCACCATCTTCCTCCTTTCTTGGATCCCTGTAAATGTATCTTTTATTCACCTGACGTAATTGTCATCACTGAGCTTACTACCTCAGTCTGCTAACCTAAGCCTAGTTCTGGAAGCTTCTAGTCTTCATACAATCTAATCTACGCCTAAAATATGTTCAACCTCTTACCTTTTCTAGTTCTTTCTGAGCTCTGGCTGGCTGGTTCAACCTTGCTGCTCTGGCTCAAAACTCCTCTCCATGCTGATTCAATCTGGCTTCTCTTGGGTTCTGAATTGCTCTGCTTGGCCCCAGACTAATTTTGGCAACACATTCTAATCTTTTGGTTCTTCATTCTGTCTTTACCTGTATCTAGCTTGTTTTCTCTCTGCAGCCTGTCTCTGTACAACTGTCCCAGTAGCTTCCCTTTCTTCTCTCTTGCTGTGAGAGTTAGACATATCCTATTCAGTCAAATCTTTCTGATTAGTCACTTTGCCTGACACTGAATTAGGCAACACTTTCAAACATGGGTACTTCCTTCTACAAAATAACTTTTCCTTCACTGTTTGAGATTTAAAGTGTGCCATCCCAAAGGCTGAGCTACACCATAACTAGAAACAGGTTTTTTTTTTTCCTCCAGTAAATAATACAATCTCAGTTTTCACAGTGTGATCAAATATCCTGCAACAGGTCTCTATCACAGCAGTGCCCACTCAGTAGATTCTTAGGCACTATCAGCCTGGCTGGGTTGAGTCTCCAGGTTTGCTAGGCCTGGTGTTTGCTAGGCCCCCTCTGCTGAGAGAATCCTTTGCAAAAAAGCAAAACAAAACAAAAACTAACGTTTGCTCCACTGGGAAAACATCAACCACACTGGAATTTTTCCCCCAGTGGAGAGAATCCCGTGTGCCAGCTACAACAGCCAAAACTCAGGGCTGCAAAGCACACACTTTGGAGTCAAACCTTTCCAGCCCCGTGATTTTAATCACCACCCCCAGCCTCCCCCGCCCCTCTATTTCCACATCTGTTAAATAAGACAGTGACTCTGCTTCCCAAAGTTCAATTCCTGGCACAGAATAGGATCTCAGCAAAGGCAGTAAGAGAGTTGGGGGGCCTTCCTTTGGGGGTTCTCAGTTTTGTATTTTGGAGTCATTCTGGAATGAGCAGAATGTTCAAGTTCAGCCAGGTCCTAAAAAACAGGCTTTCTTCAAGAAAGAGAGAGGGAGCAGTAAGACGTAGCTTTCTTCTGGATGAAAGAAAGTCAGCTCTGGAAAACTTCCCAAGGCAGAGAACTTGAGCCCGACCCTCTCCCCCAGCTCTTAAAAGCCTTTGTGGTTACGTAATACTTTTCCAGCAAAAATTCATGAAAATGCTGCTTACAAGACCTAGCCCCTTTGTCCCTGTGGCCACTTCCGGCTTAGGATCCCCAGAGGCCCCAGGACCTCTGGCTCATCCCTTGTGAGCCCACCTCTCAGCTATTCCCCAGGCCAATGCTGTGGGCAGGAAGTGGGTCTCCTCTCCTGAGGTCAATTCTCAGCCAAACTGCCTTGTCAGCAAGACAAAGGCAAGTTTCATGTTAGCAAAAGGCGGGGGAGGGGGCCAGCCTGTGTGGACTTTCCATCTCAGCAAGGGCTGGGGAGGCCAACTTGGCAGAGGATGTGACCTGAAAACTAAGAATTACAGTTTGGCCTTCTTCCACTGTGGAAAACAAAAGCCGCCCATTCCCACCAAAGCTGTTCTCTCTTCTGAACACCCTTTCCACTCCAGTATGGAGGTAGCCCCACCGTCCTTCTTTCCTCAGCACCCCAACATGGCATCCCCACACTTCACCAGAGAGGCACCGCCAACAAGATGGAACCACTGTGAGTGTTGGCCGGGCTGTCTGGAGCCTGGCCTGAGTGCAACCTGGCTGGGACTCGGTTGACTGGCCTCAGAGAGCTGCATAAGGGAGGAAGGATTAGCATGTTCTTAACTAGAGTGTTACACGCGTGCTCACGCTTTGAGGGCACACAGTAATTACTCCTTCCTAAGGGCTACCATGGGCCAGGCTCTGAGTGTGTTGTAAAGGAGACCTCAAAGACAACAAAACAAAGCCCTAGTCTCCATTCACAGGCTCCAGAGGTGATTGGCTCTTAGGCACGATGTGTAGGAGGGATTGGATGTAACCACCTAGTGAGCTTTTCTCCTGCCTCAGTGTCCCCAAGGTCCCTCCAAACCCAGGGAGGAGTTTCCACCCACTGAGCTCCTTCTGGGTGAAGCCCTGGTGTTGGTCTCTGGCTCCCTTTGCTTTCTATTGCTTTGATGAAACGCCACAACCAAACACATGTGGGAGAACAAAGGTCTCGTTTGTCTCATATGTCCATGTCACAGTCTACTACTGATAGACGTGAGGCAGGAACTGATGCAGAGCCAGGGGGATGCTGCTCACTGGCTTGCTCCTGGCTCATCCAGCCCTACCTGGGGGGGTGGGGTGACACCACCCACAGTTGATTGGACCCTTCCAAATTAACCGTTAACCAAGACAATACTCTATAGGTTTGTTTACAGGTCTGTCTTATGGAGACATTTTCTTATGTGAGGTTTCCTTTTAGATAACTCTAGCTTGTATCAGTTTGACCAAACAACAACAATGACAACAGCAACAACAACAACAGTAGTAGTAGTAAATTAACCAAAACAGACTCTGGTTGTGTGATGGCTTTGTGACAAGTCTGTTCCTTGCAGTGTAGGTTGGCAATAGCCCCATGCTAGTTGCAAATACTTTGAGCCCACTTATTACCTTTACAGTAAGAAGCCTGTGTGCTGTTCTCCTCCCTGATGTACAGAAGGGAACTGCCAGCAAATGGGAGCACATTAGTTCTGGTGTTGGGGGTGGGGGAGTCCTCTCCCACTTTGAGAAACAGATGAATGGCAGAAAGCATTTGCTGCCCAGGGCTGCTCGTAGGCTCACATTCCTTCTTAGTCATGAAGGCTCACAGACTGTGTGGCACTCGAGAGGAGTGTAGATTGTGAACAGCCTTACCTGCAGAGGCCTGGGAAAATGGGATGTGTGGTCATTTGATTGTCACGGTGGCTGGGCCTGGGAAGGCCACCAACTTGATGAAGATTTGAATTGGAGAGGCTCAGTGCCTTGCAGGGTTGGGGACAATCCTGGCCTGGGAAGGATGCCCCACCCAGACTCTCAGCAGAGCCTACTGCCCCCCACCCTTCCAGGTTCCCATGGAGACGACCCATTGAGGAAAACAGACTCTCAACACTGTCCCCCTTTTCTCTGGGAGGATATTTTTATGTTTCTGAAAGCAGAAAATATGGGAAAACTTAGAGAAATAAAAAATGACCTGACTTCTGTCTCTCAGAAGACAACGCTCTTCAAACCCTTTTGATGCACCATCTACTAGATCTTTGTTTTTAGCAAGCACGGGGTAGATCAGAAAGGCCCAGAATCATTAGACAAACAGCACAAAACTTTAGCAGACCCTTAGACAGGAGCAGAGACATGAACGAGGGGAGGGAGGGAGATTGTGTCTCTGCTCTGAGATGCCCACGAGCCTGTGGGTCTTGGGCTACACAGGCTGAGCTTGGAGGTGCTCTCCCTGCAGGGCTCTTCCACATGAGTTCACATAGAAGCTAGAAAAGGAACCTCATGGAAGGAACAAGTAGAAGCATGGTCACCGGAGCCTGGTGGAAAGTGTTGCAAGAGGAGGGGGTGGCTAGCAGCAGGCAAGGGGATGGCTGCCGATCCTACAGCACAGTGTGGCACTGTGCCTGGCCGCTACTAACTGGACATTTCAGAATAGCTGGTAGAGAGGTGTCTTAGTTAGGGTTTTGCTGCTGTGAACAGACACCATGACCAAGGCAACTCTTATAAAGAAAACATTTAATTGAGGCTGGCTTACAGGTTCAGAGACTCAGTCCATTATCATCAAGGTGGGAACATGGCAGCGTCCAGGCAGGCACGGTGCAGGAGGAGCTGAGAGTTCTACATCTTCACCTGAAGGCTGCTAGTGGAAGACTGACTTCCAAGCAGCTAGGATGAGGGTCTTATAGCTCATACCCATAGCGACAAATCTATTTCAACAAGGCTACACCTAATCCAACATAGCCACACCTTCTAATCGTGCCACTCCCTGGGCTGAGCATATACAAACCATCACAAGAGGCTTGTGCATATTTCCAACAGGAATGAGAAATGCTGGAAGTGAGTCCTGATCATTCGCATTAGTTACACATATCATAGTTACACAGTACACCCCATCAGTATAGATAGTGGCTGTGCTAGCTACTATGCTTAACCTACTCCTGGGCTGGCTGGAGTGTAATTCCATCACAGAGCATGTGCTTAGCATGAACAATCCTCATAAAACTTTAAAAAAAGACTCTTAATGCTCGTTCTCCCCAACCATTGCCCTAGAGCAGTGGGGCTTTGAGGAGTTTAGCTTGGGTGTGGCTACCCATGTACCCAGGTACAGCCTGGAAATACTGAGGGCAGCCAGGAACTTTGATACCGCTCAGGTCCACCCTCAGACAGATACTGCAGGTGCTGGTGGGTGAGCCATTAGCCCTTCTTGTGCTGAGTGTGTTCTCGTCTCCTGCAGGCAAAATCCTCTTCCGCCGCAGCCACATCCGGGACGTAGCCGTCAAACGCCTGATACCAATCGATGAGTATTGTAAGGTAAGCTGAGACGCCAACGCCATCTTCCCTCGTGGGTGTTCTGTTTTGTTTTCCTTTCTGAGTGCCAAATGTTCACTCGAGGGTAGGAGACAAAACAGAACAAAACATACAAATCCTCTCGCACCGCGTACGACTATGGAATCAACCTGAATCCACTTTCAGTGGCTGTGTAGTGTTGTCCTGGGCATGAAAGTTCCGGTCAGCACTCAGCCCGTCATTGATGGAGCAGCTGGCCTCTCGCCCCTTGAGTGTTCCAACAGAAGGAGGCGTGCCTTTGGGTGCTGTTGGATGGGATTGGTTGGGAAGGAAGCATACCGTCATTTCTGTTATTGTCTCTGTTAAGTGAGTGTAGAAAAATCGCAGGATGCAGGTGCCACATGTAGTCACTAGTTGTCTCATCAGTTGTCTCTATATCCAGAAGAAAAATTAAGAACACACTTCCACTCGCGCCAGGGAAATGGCCTGATCAGTAAAGATCAGTTTGCCACACAAACATGAAGGCCTGAGTTTGGCCCAGCACCTATGTAAAATGCTGAGCACTAAGAGCCTGTGATTCTAGGGTCTAGGAGTGGACATAGGAAGGTCTTGGTGGCTCATGCCTGGCCAGTCCAGTCAGCTAGCAAGCTCTGAGTTCTGTGAGAGACTGTCTTAAAACACAATAGAAAGGCACCAATACCAACTGCTGGCTTTTATCTGCATCCATTACATTACACATGTGTACCTAGGATGTGCCACAGAGACAGAGACACAAATTCAGAGAGAGAGAGAGAGAGAGAGAGAGAGAGAGAGAGAGAGAGAGAGAGAGAGAGAGGAGTTCTGCTCACACCAGCTCCAACAAAATGTAAAACTCTTAAAAATGTACTTAACCAAAAGTGCAGGTTTTATGCACTAAACCTCAAAGCGTGGTCAAGAAGAGTCCAGAGAGCTCTGAGTCGGGCTGGGTGAAGTAGCAATTGCCTTCAGCACTCTGGGGCAGATTCACACTTCTGTGAGTTTGAGGTGAGCTTGGTCTACACACTGAGTTCTAGGTAGTCAGGGTTACATACACAGTGAAACTCTACCTCAAACAAACAAACAAACAAACAAACTAAACTTTCTAAATGACTAGGAGTTGCAAAATTTTTTTCTAAAACAGAAAACAATTTTCTTTCTATCTAGATTGAATCCTACAGAAATCCAGTGGGCTTCTTAGTGGTGCTGACAAGATCAACCGTGTGTGTGTGTGTGTGTGTGTGTGTGTGTGTGTGTGTGTGTGTGTGCGTGCAAATTTAAAGGACCTTGAAAGATAAATCATGCTTACCATTTCTTGGACTCCCCACAAGGCTCCTTACTGCCTATATTAACCCAGACTCTGTGGCACTCTCCTGGGGTCCATGCACAGATCAGAGGACAGTGTTGTGAACCAGGAGTAAATATTTCCACATGCTGGGCTAAAGGTGCCAAAACAGCCCAATGAGGAAAGATTTCTTTTTTTTTAATAAACAGGTTGGACAGCTGGCTACTGCCTAGTTCATCGAGGCCACAAATCATCACAGACTTGGTGATTTCCGCAGCAGGACTTGGTTTTCTGTCACTTCTGAAAGCTAAAATGTAATCAGCAGGGTCTCAGGCCTTATCTGTGGCTTTCAGTTAGCTATCTGTGAGTGCACAGGACACACTCTCTTTATGTATCTGTATCCTAATCCAAAAGGACGCCATTAATGTTGATTAAGGCCCACCCCTGATAATGTTGTTTAATCTTCAATTACTTCTGCAAAGACCCTTCTCTAGCTATATATGCCCTGAGGGGTTACAGCTGAGCTGGGCTCCACTTTCACCTCAGATACACCCCCAGCATCTGTACACATGCAAACATACAATGGGCTTGAGCCCTTCTTTCACACTGTGCATGAGAATCAACTCAAAAGGGGTCACAGGAGCTGCAGAGATGGCTCGGTGGGGAGCATGTTTTCTTCTGGAACATGAAAACCGGAGTTTGGATCCCCAGCACCCATGTATAAGGCCAGACGTGACAGACGACATCTGTAATCCCTGTGCTGGGGAGAAGGAGAGAAGAGAACCCCAGGGGCTCAGTGACCATCTAGCTTATCAGTTTTCCTTATATCTAGGTTCACTAAAACGTCGGCTCAAAAAAATTAGGTAAACAGTGATAGAGGAAGACACCAGTTGTAGGTGTCTCACCTCCACACATGCGCACATCCGTACACATACACATGAACATGTATGTACATACATATACAGACTGGGTCACAAACCTAAATAAAATAGCCAGAACTGGGAAACTTTCAGAAGAAAATGTGGAGAAAACCTTCACAACCCTGGGATAAGCTGTGAGGTTTTTACTGTGATACCAAAAGTAACAGTCCTTAAAAATATTTGGTCAAGTTCAGCTTCAGCAAGCCTACTTAAAAACCTCTCTGCTAAAAAACAACAACAACAAACAAAACCACTAGGAAACTAAAAAGATAGGTCACAGATGGGGTAAAATATTTGTAAACAACATTATAAAGGACTTTCTGAGAATACATAAAGAACTCGTACCAGGTGGTGGAACACACCTTTAGTCCCAGCACTCAGGAGGCAGAGGCAGAGGCAGGTGGATCTCTGTGAGTTTGAGGCCAGCCTGGTCTACAGAGTGAGTTTCAGGGCAGCCAGGGGTACATAGTGAAACCCTGTCTTTAAAAAAACAAAAAACAAAACAAAATAAAAAAACAAGCAAGAAGAAGGAGAAGGAAGAGGAGGAGGAGGAAGAGAAGAAGGAGAAGGAGAAGGAGGAGAAGGAGAAGAAGGAGAAGGAGAAGGAGAAGAAGGAGAAGGAGGAAGAGGAGGAGGAGGAAGAGGAGGAAGAGGAGGAGAAGGAGAAGAAGGAGAACCACCACCACCACCACCACCTATACAACTCCAGAATTAAAAGACTTTAAGACTGGAGGAAAACTCCAATAGCATCCTCACTCAAGAGGAGACTGGGTTTATAATAAACATGTGAACAGAGCCTGGTGGTGCACACTTTAATTCCAACACTCAGGAGGTAGAGGCAGGAGGAACTCTGTAATTTCAAGGCCAGCCTGGTCTACAAATGAGTTCAAGGCCAGCCAGGATTACACTTTTTTTTTTCAAAAATAACTAAATTTCTAAAATAAACACATAAAGAAATGTTTAGATAAACACATAAAGAAATCGTGCACCACTGGGGTCTTTGCAGAAGGGACTGAAGATTGGTGTTAATCACGGACAGTTGCACCAGATGTTAGCAAGGATCTGGTAAATAATGGGGCGGTTTCTGGGAGGCTGAGACACAAAGATCACAAAATTCCAGGCCGGCCTGGGTACATAGCAAGAACCTGCTTCAACACACTCCGTGAAGCTCATCACACGGTCAGCCCTGGGTCTGTACATAAGATAAAGTTTATGTCCGCACAGATGCAAGCCTTCCTAGCAACAGGAAGTCATAGGAGCCAAATGTAAGGGGCCGTCTACAACTCGATGATATCAAGCGGTTAAATTTGTGTAAGTTCTACAACCCAGATGAATCACAGAGACATGATGCTAAGTGAAAGAAACCAGATGCAGGAGATGACCGACCAGTGAAATGTGCAGACGGGGAGGTGATGAGCCGTCTCCTGGGCCGTGGGCCTATGGGTGGGAAGATGGATGCAAATTGGATGTTTGGAAGATGGAAGAGTTCTAAAACTGAACTGTGGGATGAGGCTAGAGCACTATAATTTACTAAATACTGAACTGGGTACTTGCAGTAAGTTTATGGCATGTAAATTATACTGTCATCTGAATTTTTTTATACAAAAGGAGGCAGTGTTGGGACAAATGGCCCCTCTTGGTCAGGAGGCATCTAGGAAGGGCTGAAAATCATTCTTGCTTTGCTCCTGGTCAGACATGACCTCCTTGAATCCCTCCAGTGACTATGTAAGGTGGATTTCCATGCTCCCACTGTGGAAATGAGGAAACGAAGTCCCACTGCTACTCATAACAACCATATCAGAGGGCTTGCAAGTCGAGCCCAGACTCAACACCCTGTGTACCATTAACTGCCTCTATAGAAGTAAAAAGCAGGAGGTTGCGGTGATTGGCCTCCACCATGTCACATTGCTACACTCTGAGTGTCCTTCTGTGCTGTGCCACAGTGCTATGCTCTGAACGTCTCTCAAGAGGTTTTTATGTTGGATGCTTGACCTTCAGTGTGGCAGTGTCCAATTTGCAGAACCGGCAAGACCTGAGCTTAATGCTGGTCTCAAGTGAATTAGTTTTCTTGAGAGCTTGCTGTTACAAAAACCACGACTGTATGGTGCTCTTGGTCTCTTCTGTATTTCTTCACCGTGCTGTGATACAGTCATGAGTTCTAGCCAGACACACAGTTGTGAGTCTTTATCTCATAAAAGGCCCAGCCTTGGTTTACTTTGGTATAGCAACAGAAAACAGATTAACATAGGCAGACAAATTCCTGCCTCCTATCACCTTCAGAAGGGTGGGGACAGGGACAGCACTTTACTACTGCCTTCCAACTCCCAGAGGAAGGCTCTACATCTCCTGTGGCCATTTTTAAAACTATAAAGCTCGAAGTTGCCATTCCAAAGGTAGCATGCCTCTGACCAGGCCCTGCTGGCAAGACCTTTAGGTCCTTCGGGTCACCTCGCCCTGCTGGACAATTCCTGCCTGTGCATTCCTCTGCCCACATCATCCTGTCCTGTTTTCTCCTTAGCACACCCACTTCTCTCCAGGTCCAGCTGTATTCATGTCCAGGGATTCCTCAACCTCTGGACATTTTATTCTGAAAAGGAGATTTTAGAATGTGGAGCTATAAGAGATGCCAGCTGCCTGCAGCTGCCTACGGAGTGGAATGTCACAGAGATGATGAATTAACCACAGGGAGGAAACTGCTTAGATTACACCAGCTTTACAATGAATCAGAAGAACAATGCCAATAATTGGATATTTTGGTTGCCCAGATTCCCTCGGTCAGTATCTTAGGACCTATACTTTTTGGAGATCTTCAGTTCTAGATGCATAAGCTATCCCTAACATGTAGACGTCTGTTAAGGATGTTGTGAACTGACTTAAGGCAATCATACTGAGTTTAATTTTAATAGGAAGTGGTAATCCCCAACAGGTAGAAATAGGCAAGGACTGTTGGTACCCAAACCTGGCTGCCAGGAGTGTAGTAAAAAGCAAGAAAGGGCTCTCTGCCAGAGCTAGAGTAAAGTTACCAATTAGTACTGTGTAGAAAAGCTATTGGAGAGTCCCAAAATAGACCCATGCATGTTGGACAGGTTGACACTGACAGAAGCAACCTTGCAGATTATTGGGGAAGGTTGGATTCCTGGATAAAGGGTCTTTGTATGGGGAGGAGGTACAAGAGATGAGTCACTTCAGCCTCACAGCACAGTGGGATCGTTTCCAGGAACTTAAAAGTCGTCACTATAAGAGGCAGTGTATAAAGATTTTAGAAAATAAAAGCTTCCTGTCTCTAGGTATGGAGGGACTATTAAAGACACAAAAAAGTACTGACCACAAAGGAAATGTGTTTATTTGGCCACATTACGTCTAAGAACTTCTGTTTATAGCGAGACACAATGAGACACACGTGACTCCTGGACTGCCACCGAGATGAATGTGTATTGTCACACAACTTTATACAGCTACTCTGCTTGCTGTGGGGCTGTTGAGATACCAACTGTCTTTCTGGCAGCACTTGGCATGAGCGCTGCCCAAGACAGATGCAACATGTTCTGGGAGAAGTCCAGCTAAGCCTGGCCATAAAACCCTTAAGGAGAGGCCCAGCCGATGGCACCATTGTGAGAGAGACATGGTCTCACCAGCTTCTGTTCACACAGGGGCCAGAGCATCAGACTATCTCTAAAATATAGTTCACCTCACTTCTCCAGTAGAGGAAGACAATCTTTCCTAATAGCTGCTATGCTGGTGATTACAGACTGTGGGATTGATCCAAGACAGAGATGGAGGACACTTTTAAGTCCTCATTTGAAATGAACTGAGTTTTTTCATTTGGTTGATTTGGTCTTGTGTTTTGGGTGGTTTGGTTTGGTTTGGTTTGGTTTGGTTTGGTTTGGTTTGGTTTGGTTTGTTTTTAGACAGGGTATTACTATGAAGCTCTGGCTGTCCTGGAACTTACTATGTAGATGAGGCTGGCCTCGAACTCACAGAGGTCTGCTTGCCTCTGCTTCCCAGATACTAGGATTAAAGGTGTGCACCACTTACAACCCACTGGCACTTTGAATTAACCTCAGGGTCTCATGGATACTAAACAAGTGCTCTATCACTGAGCTATACTCCAGCTCCAGGACATCTGAGTACAGCCTGGTCTAGCTCATTTCCTGCTGCCATAACAGAACATCCAAGACTGGATATCTAATAAGGAAGAAAGGTTTCTTTTGGCTCATGGTTCTGGAAGAGTATGGTGCCAACAAGGACTTTTATGCATTCCAACTCATGGTAGAAAAAAAATGAGCAAAATGTGGCGTAAAGGCTTGACTTGTACAGTGTACTGTCCCCCCAGAGCAAAGCCTGGCTCACTAGAGAGAGCATTGGTCTATCTTGAGAGTTCTGCTGAGGAGCCTGTTGCTGTCACAGACTAGGTAGATGTAAGGTGTCTGTACACCACACAGCAGGGCACAGCTCCACTGGCATCCTGTCAGCAATTTCCTAATGTGGTTTAGCTGCAAAAGCTACAGGACTTCAGAGGAAAAATCCCTGGGCAGGAGGATGTAGCTCTGCTCCCTGGCAAAGGTCAGTCCTGGTGCCAGTTGCAGAGTAGGAGATGCTTCATGGCAAATCAAAATGATCAGCAAGGGGCTGGAGAGATGGCTCAGCAGTTAAGAGCACTGGCTGCTCTTCCAGAGGTCCTGGGTTTGATTCCCAGTGCCTTCATGGTAGCTCACAACTGTCTGTGATTCCAGTCACAGGGTATCCAATGCCCTCTTCTGGCTATCATGGGCACATCACATAAATGACGCACAGAAAATACATGCAGGCAAATATAAAATAAGAAGGAATAAGATCTCAAAAACATTATCAACACACCGTATGTCGGCATCTCTCACCCTGATGGGTAGAGAGTAGACACTGAGCATGGAGGGACTTCCAGAACCATTGCCTACCTCACACTGTATCTTTCCACTTTAAGCTTGTGGAGGTAGCTTAGATCTTGAGTCAAAAACTCACCTGGGCTAAAGTGAAACTCAGCGACAGGACACTAAGCTAATGTGCACAGACCCTGGGACGGGTTCCCAGCACCACTATACCCTAAACATGTAGATCCAGCAGCCCGCCTGTCCATGGATGAAGGAATGTCATTCTCATGCTTCAGCAAGGGTGACCCCCTGGATGGGTGAGCAAGGTACCAGCTGGACACAGTCATGCCTAAAGGAGAAACTCAAAGGGACAGAGAGGAGAGTGGTGAACGGTTTGTGTCCTGCAAGATGGAATGAGCAGGGTTTGGGTAGAGAGTGGGAAGGTGCCCAGGCCTCTGAGCTATGCGTGCATGTGAAGATAGTTAATGGTCAGTTTGATATTAATATGTATTTGATCACAATAACTGGAGAGGGAGAAATGTAAGGGTCAAAATCCCCTCCGAGCCGTATGTACAGTTCCACCCTGGAGCCCCCTGTGCACCTCTACAATGTGCATCTGAGCCTGGTGGTCCGTGCTTTGATGCAGGAGTGGGGCACAGGCTTGTTTTTCGGAGATGTTAGATAGCAAATACATGGCACATCTTATCTCTCAGGCTACACCAGGCCAGAGGTGCAAGAGAGGCACCAGGCACCACAGCCTAGGAAGTGCAGAGTCTCGTTGAGCTATGTAGACTTCTGTGGGGGCAGTGGGCTGTCTAAATCCCTCACACACATGTTTGTACCCCACCTCCATGTCTGTAAGAAACATGAACCTGAACAGGCTCTGTCAGTCACAGCATATCCAATGTCCTCTTCTGGAAGAGCTTTTCACACCTCCATCTTCCCCATCCAGCTCTAAGAGAGGAGGAAGGTTTAACTAAGTATTTGTTGACAAAACGCAGTGTTCACTCAGTGCGTTGCCACCTGTGTGATGAGCCCGATACGCCTTGTTCTTTTCCAGTACGGCACTAGGCAAAGAGGATACCCGTTACATACTTGCTGGCAGGTCAGCAGACAGAACAAGTGCCCGTGCTCTCCTCTCCCTCACCTGGCCTCATGCAGCCTGCTGGGAGATGCAGCAGGGCTCTGTCGAGAGCCAGCTGAGCCACTCTGTCAGATGGCTAGGAACTGACCCATGGGAGGCTGGTATGCTAACCCTCTATCACCCTGGAGACTTCCATTCACTCTGGATCCAAATTGCTGGGCTTTACAACCTCAGCTTGGGAAATTCAGACTCTTCTTAGACACACTCCAGATGTTCTCCAGTGGTGTGGTAAAGACTGCAGACAGCAGAATATGGTAGAGAAAGCTGAAATGAACGGAATTTACACTGTTAGTGGAAACATCGCTTTCCAAAATAGCATGTATTGTATGAGCTGGATTGTGTATGTACATACAATGTTTGAATGTATGCCAGCAGAATGTATTATCTCCATACGTCTGGGAGCGTGCATGTGTGTATGTGTGTTCTCCAAGGGGCATGTTAAAAATCCCTGATCTCAGGCCTCACCATAAGCACGCTAAAGCTCTGGTGGGTCCCAGTCTATGCGTTAGGAATCCCCCTGTGCAATCCTGATGCCTGCCTGAGTTTAAGAACTCAGGTGACAGCATTCTTGACACCCTCTCCTTCCTCAGACTCACCTCTGTCTCTGCTTTAGGCCCTGATCCAGCTGCCTCCCTACATCTCTCAGTGTGATGAGGTGCTGCAGTTTTTCGAGACAAGACCCGAGGACCTGAATCCTCCCAAAGAGTAAGTCTGACTGTAGATTTCCCCAGGTGACACTCCTCCCTTGCCCCCTCCTGCTGTCCTTCTAGACCCACAGGGACCCAGAGTCGGCAAACTGCAAACTAAGCCAGAGTTCATTGCCTCAGCCCTGCAAAGCCTCGCTGCCTGTGGCTTCATAGCCACTGTAAGTGGGTAACAGTGGTCCCATGTAATAGGCAACGGAACCTGACTAGGCATCTCTAACCTGAAGTTGTTTTGCACGACCACCAAGCTTTTCAAAGAGTGTGATAGCTGGGGATATTTCCAATGGTCTCCACTCCACAAATGCATAGAAACCTTGATCCAAGGGTCCAGAACACTTATAAGATAAAGGCAGAACTGAATAGAGGGTCTCTCTTAGAAGAAGCCTGGGTTCCTGGAGTGGGCTTGGATTCTTCCACTCTGTGAGGGTGCTGTGGGTTGGAGACAGTCATTGTCCTAATGGGATCTCAACTCAATACATAGCAAGGATTGACTGGCTCTTTCTCACCCCTGTCTCCTACACAGGGAGCATATTGGGAAGAAGAAATCAGGTAAGCATAGATTCCATTTCTTTCCTTTCGTTCCTGCGATGTGCCCAAGGTCAGGTTCCATGCAGGAGATGCAGCAGTGCAGTGGATAGATGGACAGATGGATGGTGATTGGATATGTAGTTGAATGGGTGGGTGAATAGACAGTCAGTCAGTCAGTCAGACAGACAGACAGACAGAGGGATGGATGAGCAATGGATGAGTAGTTGCATATGGAGATGATCATCAGAATGAATGGATGAGCTGGCGATTGATTGATGGGGCCTATTTCATCCTTTGCCAAAACCACTACGAAGTGGATGAGACAAGAGTACCTCTGTGGTGTATGAAGGCAGGCATCTTCCTAACCATGCTGCAGAGGGGTTTGGGTCTCCATGGCACTTCATAGAAAGCAATGTGGACACTCAGAGCCTTCTCCTGGGAAGATAGTGAGAGGATGGGGGAGGGTGAGATAGAGACTCAGAGACATGGGGACTGAGGGTGAGCTCTCCAAAGAGTGAAAGGAATGCCAGACTGAGAAGACACCATGCACTGGGGCTGGGAGGTGGACTCAGTAGCAGATCTGGGCCTGGTCCTTTGACAGCCTCAGCCATGGCTAGACTCTAAGCTTCCTTCAGCCTACTGCCCCAGGCAGAGCTTGATGGCTGTCTCTCAAGCCGTGCTGGACTCCTTTCACACAGGAAGCTTGCTTCTGCCAGCCTCTCTGGTCTTGGGTTGAGGATGCTATTTTAGCAGAGGTGGTCATGGAAAAGAGAAGGTGTGTTCTAAAGACGACTGTCTCCAGTCCAACTCTTCTTACTGCCCATGCTCCTTCTGGCCACACAGCCAATCTGGGTTTCAGAGCTTCTGGGGTCCTGGCCTCTAATCTCTTTGAACTCCAGGAAGTTTGAGGGACACCATGCATGGGTAGGAAGGGGCACAGGCGGGTGTGTTATGTGTGCATGTGTGGTGTGTGGTGTGTGCGCATGTGTATGTGAGGTGTGTGTGTGTGTGTGTGTGTGTGTGTGGTATGATGACTTTCCTCATGTGTGCTATTCAGGCCTAAGGTGTGACTCAGTGGTAGAGCACTTACCTAACAAGCATAGACCCTAGCTTCCATTTACATGCATGCTCACACATGTGCACACACACATACATATACATACCACACATACACACACACACACACGTACATACACACACCACACATATACACATGCCACACTCACATGCATATACACACACACCACACACATATACATACCACACACACATGCACTTACACACACACACACACACACACGTATATACACACCAGACACACACCACACACTACATGTGCACACACCACACATACCTCACACACATACCACATCACATACTCATACCACACTACATGTACACACACCACACACATACCACACACACATGCATGAGATGTGTTTTATAGGATTGTCAGAGGGTCTACAATAGTAAATGTAAAACCCTTCGATAGTAATATCTGATTGATGCTGTTCGATTATCCCTCCTATGAGTCAAGCCTGTAGATGTCCCCGAAAGCACCAAGAACAGGTCCACACTTTAGGCCTGGGATCTACCTCTCCTCCTGGGAACAGGCCTGGATCAGTTTTACGGTCCTCTAGTCTGATCATGGTGGAAAGTGAGAACAGAAATCATACCTCATTCCTCTTTCCTCTGCCCCAGCCTGCTTTACTTTGCTCTCTGACTACATCTGGCTCTCCTTTGGGGTTTAGTGGTCACTGGCCACACCGTGGCATTCTGCTAGAGCTGCAAATGGTCCTCAGCCAGGATAATGACACATTTCTTTTCTTAGCAAAGATTAGTGAGCGGCTGCCGCTCTGGGCTGGTCATGGAGTTTCTGGCTTTGCTTATGCAGAGACTCCCCTGAAAGGAGCTGGGAAGAAGAGGGGAAAGGGAAGAGACAGCTCTGCTTGGTGAAAATAAGAGTGTCCAGTTGGAACAGGCTTGATGAGGGACCTGTCTGGAAAAGAGAGCAGAGGCTCTAATTTGTGGTGACCGTGGTTGACATCACTCACCTGCCTTGATGGGGCCAGGTTTATTTATAGTCCCACTGGCTGGAACACAGCACCTTCCTTTACTCAGACTCAGAACCCTCTTCCACAGGCTCCTTATTTATCTGACTGGTGGACACTGTCTTAATTTTAGAGCCGGTTTTCTTGACCGAATTTTAAAGAGATTTAAATTAAAAACAGACCTTACCTCTACATTTTCTGTGCCAAACTCTGGATGGGAGAAGGCTTGTCTGTCCCCAGCACTGCCCAGTCACATCCAGCTGGCTCCTGCAGACTTGGCTTATGTGGCCCCAAATTCTGCTCATCCCACAAAGGGAAAAAACCTCACCACAATTGAGAAGGTTGTCTGATGGCTTACAAAAGCATTTCTTCTTGATTTTCGCTTACTTACAGATTCTTCCAACAAGCCTGGCAGTTTAGTGAACTTGTGGAAGGAAAAGTCTCACTTTGGCATTACTTATCATTTTAAAAATTCAAGACATGTCATCAGAAAGAAAAAACACCTAACTCAAAAGTTTCTCTGGTAGAGCAGGCAACTGTGTGGCTTGAGAGTGCTTTTTAGCGTTAATGACAAAAATAATTCTTCTACTGTCCATTCCCTGTGTGTCATGTAACATAGCCTAGGGTTTGTTTGGCTTTTTTTGGGGGGGAGGGTGTTCATTTGTTTGTTGTTGTGGTTTTTTGAAACAGGCTTTGTCTGTGTAGCCCTGGCTGTCCTGGAACTCACTCTGTAGAGCAGGCTGGCCTTGAACTCAGAAATCTGCCTGCCTCTGCCTCTGAAGTGTTGTGATTAAAGGCGTGCGCCACCACTGCCCAGTGAGGAATCTTTTGATTGCATCTGCAGCTACGTCTAGAACCTAGTTGCCTCAACTATGAGAGAGATGTTCCTGGTACCATTCACAGTAGGGCTTAGTTGCAATATCACACTCCACCAGTAGGGGTCTCTATGTGGCACCTGATGATCTGAAGCTTCTTTATTTTTAGATTTATTTCTTTATTTTTTGTATGTGAGTACTCTGTTGCTGTCTTCAAACACGTTAGAAGAGGGCATTGGATCCCATTACAGATGGCTGTGAGCCACCATGTGGTTCCTGGGAATTGAACTCAGGATCTCTGGAAGAGCAGTCAATGCTTTTAACCGCTGAGCCATCTCTCCAGTCCCCTGAAGATTCATTTAAGCCTCCTGTAATCGACTGAAACCATGTGTTTTGTCATCAGTGTTGATAAGTGGGATATTCCGAGGAAAAGGTAGACAACTTGCTCTGGAAGCAGCACTTGGAAGCAGTTCCCTGCTCTTGCCTGTGAAGCATGCCTCCGAAAGGGACCGCAGCCTGTAGCCCAAGACCAGAGCACTGAGCCCATGCTTTGCTGAGCTCCGCTCATGTAACTAAAGGCAGCACTCTGCCCTCTGCTCATGGCTTCCTATCTCAGGGTTTCTGATTTTGTCACTCAGTATTTACTAAGCTCCTACTGTGTCCCTGGCAGTATGCTAGGTCCCCAGGGTGTATATAAGACAGGAAGTCATTTAAATATAAGTTTTAAAATATTCCATTTGGGTATTTATTGCTCTCCACTAGGTTCCATCCATGGTCTAGACCATGAATTGACAAACTTTTTTCTAAAGGCCTAAATAATGTATAGATAATTTACACATTACAGGTCACATGCAGTCTGCCACTAGCAATAATATTATAGTATTCCTCTCGCTCCTCTTCCACTTTCTCCTTTTCTTCCTCCTCATCCACAAATACTTTAAAAATAGTTCAGAGATGGGACTAGAGCGATGGCTCGGCAGTTAAGGGCTCTTGTGGAGGACCCAGGTTGAGTTCCCAGGATCCACATCGGGGCTCAGAACTATCTGTAGCTCCAGGTCCAGGGATCAGATGCCCTCTTCTGACCTGCAGGCGTCAGGCAGGCGCTTGATGTACACACATATAGACAAAATACTCATACACATAACAAGCAAGCAAGCAAGCAAGCAAGCAAGCAATATTTTTTAGAAGCCTGCAAACCAGAGACAAGTCCATGGATTTCTGCTAAAACATGGGTATCTAAGCCAGAACAGAAAAACATACAAGGGGAGACAAGGAAACACATGGAGTTGATTTTTTTTTTAAAGTAACATGGAGGGCGCAGAGTGATGGCTCAGCAGTTAAGAGCACTTGTGCTCTTGCAAAAGGACCAAGTTCAGTTTCCAGCACCCACACCAGGCTACCCACAACTGCATGTAACTTCAGCACTGGGCAGCCCTCTATCTTCCTTGGGAACCTGCACGTGTGTGTACATACACAAACATTTACACATTATTTGATTTTAAAAATATTTTTTAATTAAAAAACAAAATGGAAAGGAACAAAAGTCACCAAGGCAATGCCAGGCTGTCAGGGGGGTCCCCACAGGTGCCCTTGAGGAAAGGAGCCAGGGAGTGCCAACGGCTGGTGAAGACTGTCTCTCACAAAGAGAACAGAGTGTGCTTCTAACTCTAAGAAATAGGAAGCACTCCAGCTGCTGGCTTGACATGGCTACGTAAGGCGTACAAATGTGAGACAGATTTGACTGCTGGTGGCAGAAACTTCTAAAGGATTATAGCTGAAAGGATTCAATAGTGTTTCTTCTTAGTTCAAACACAAATGGTAGCCACGTATGGTGTAGTGTTTGACAATAAAGGATCAGGGGCCTGTGTTACGGCTTTGCCATACAGGGCCAGTGTTCTCAAGGTTACCTTCTAGCCCAAGATGGCTGCTGGAGCACCAGCCATTACATTCCCATGTAGGCCAGGAGAAATGAACAGGTGAAACAGGGCAAGCCGCTTTCCATAAGGACACCAAGCAGTCATGCCTATCTCTATTTAGACCCACTGACCGACTCAATCTCATGCCAGTCCCAAATAGGAAGGTGTTTCCCCAAGTGTTCAATGTAACCAGCCTCAGATCACTAGTCTTGTTAGTGTAGAATAATAAGAACAGGAAATAAGTTGCCTTCTACCCTCTGGGGTGGGATGGGGGGATGTGTTCTGACTGGTTACCAGGCAGATCGGGCGGAGCTTTGCCGACACTGGGCTTTCCTTACGTGAGGTGAGAGGCACAGTAGCAGAGCCTTGCCTGTGGAGGATGATCAAGCCAAGCAATCGACTACCTGAAGAATCATGAACAATATGATGGATTGAGGCTGGCAGTGGAGACCAGTCAGGAGACCAAGAGTAGGTAGCTCCCATTAGCACGAGGGGATTCTGGCCCCCAAGCAAGTTCTACTTGGTGTGGACTCTGGTTTGCACTGTTGAACTTAAAAGAACCCTCATTTGCAGTGGCCAGGAGTTCCAGAGGACCAGCATCTTAGACTCATTGACTCCTTGCATCATAGGGTCCTGTAGGAGGAGAACTTGCCAGGTTAGCCTGGCAGGAAGTTCTCTCCAGTAGGGTCAAACTAGCTTTGTCTCAGACCCCAGGCTACATAGCTGTCTGGCTTTGGTGGACTATTGACCTGTGAGGAGGTAATGAACTACGAATAGTGACAGTAACCTCTGAGAAATATAAAGAAAGGACACAGGATCCTGGGGTGGACCTAGGAACTGTCAAAGAGAGAAAGCCAGAAGGCCCCAGACATTGCCTTCTTCCCTGTCTGTCTATTGTGCACCATCCGTTCCCATGCCTGGGTGGGGAGCCTGGAGCCAGCTGTGTGGTAAAGAACACTTCATTTACTATCCTCGGAGTATTTTTATATCTGTGACAGGCAGTGCCCACCTCGAGCACGATGATGCTAGAAAAGTTTGCGATGGTTTGCAGCCCATGGGGGTGAGGGCATTCTTTTCCAGGCTCCCTCCCATCCAGCCTTCTTTGGCACCTCCATCCTGCATCTCTCCTCTTTCCTTCCCCTCCTGCTCCCTCCACTCAGGTGCAGGTGGTTATGGTGTAGTCTGCTCAGATGCCTTCCTAAAAGGGTCAGTGACCAGAACCTGCTCACAGATCCGAGCAGCAGGCCCTGCCCCCACATGCCACGCTGCCTCCTTCTCTTTGACATCTCTGAATGGAGATGTTCCTTTTAAGTCTTCCATGGTGCATCTTTGTGAGCATGCCCATCTGTCTTAGTGGGTAGCAGGGCTTCACAGCTCCAGGGTGTGACGCACACACTGCTCACCAGGGAAGCCGCCTGCCTGGAAGCACTTCCCACACTTTCCCCTCCTGGGAGCACTGCCCAGCTCCAATGCTTCGATCTCCTCTTGCCTAACGACTTACCACCCTCAGTCTAGGGTGCTCTCTGCCTTGCCAGCCTCTGCCTTGCTCCACATGGCAGCCAGAGACACTTGTCCAGCTGTACATCTTGCCAGTCCCTTCCTAGGAACCTTAATTGACTCCTCAAGATTTAAAAATCCTAACTTATCAAGTCCTCAGCCTCAGACCAATGCTTTCCTTGGGGACTTCTATCAGTACCGTGTCTACCATCTAGCAGAGCTCTGCCTCCCAACCTCATTCTACTCCTGAAGGCCCTTCTCCATCACGGGAGAGCCCACCTTCCCCAGGGTTCCCTGACTCCTGGGACACATTCCCTCATGGGTCTCTGCTTTCTGCTTGGGAAGTCTTTCTGACCACTTATTTGGTACAGCTTTGCCTTTCCCGTTCATTCTCTGGCATCCTGGGTATCCAAGCTGATATAATTTGATCTCTTGTTTGTGTGTGTGTGTGTGTGTGTGTGTGTGTGTGTGTGTGTGTATCTGCCATGTGTTTATCTCTCCTCTTACCTTGAGTTATTTGAGACTGGAAGGAATCCGTTTCATCTATTTTTGTGTCCGTAGTCCCCAACAAAGTATGTAGAACATCATGGGAGGCCTATGAGTTCATAGGTGGGCTTAGGATGAAGTTGATGGGTGAGGCAGGCTGGGTGGTGACCTCAAGCTAATTTAAACCATCCCCTCAAGCCCCTCAAAGGCAGCCAGCTTCCGGGCATATGCCTCATCTTACTAACTTGGAACCTCTTGGAAACCCCAGTGGTCTTGGTAAACTTTGGTGCCTGAGTAAGAAAATGGACGAGAGGATGCAAGGGTAAGGAGCTGGGGCGTGAGACAAATCCTATAACGAAGACTGTCGGAGCTAATGGGATGTCTCATGGCATTTGCTGTCCTCAGGGAGTGACCCGACCTCAGTGGACCCTATGGTCCTGGAGCAGTATGTGGTGGTGGCAGACTATCAGAAGCAGGAGAGCTCAGAGATCAGCCTCAGTGTGGGCCAAGTAGTGGACATCATTGAGAAGAATGAGTCAGGTAAGGACCTGGAACACCTTCCCTGTACCCTGAACCATCGTCCCCAGAGCCACGGAGGGCTCACAGCCACTGTCTCAGGAGCCTGTGGGGTCAGGTGTTACCCTTGTCTGAGGCCTGCTCCCATAAACAGCCCTGGTTTTCAAATACTTACTGACAGTAGAGCGCTCCTTTGAGAATTTTCATGTTGCCGGGCAGTGGCGGCGCACGCCTTTTATCCCAGCACTTGGGAGGCAGAAGCAGGCGGATTTCTGAGTTCGAGGCCAGCCTGGTCTACAGAGTGAGTTCCAGGACAGCCAGGGCTACACAGAGAAAACCTGTCTCGAAAAAAAAAAAAAAAGAGAGAGAGAGAGAGAGAGAGAATTTTCATGTTGATTTCCCTTGGGAGTCCCTCAAGAAAGCTGCAGATCCAAGAGAGAAGCCCCACAGAGACTGTGTCTCAAAAACAAATTACAAATTAGAAGAAACTCGTTAGAGAAGATGGGTGTCTGCCTGTCTCTCAACCCAACTATCATCCTAGGGCCGCTGGGCACATCCACCAGCAGTGAGATGATTGAGACAGGGGACCTGGATGCCACCAGGAGTCTACACGGCACATCAGTTTTAAAACTGTCAGGGATTGGAAGAGTAAATGATAAACTGTAGGAAGGGCACTTAAACCTGAACCTGGTACCCAGCCTGTGCTCCAGAAATGCAGGCTTCCTTCCCTGCTACAGAGCAACCATCACACCGTGCAGGGAAAGCAAGGCGTGAGCAGCCCCTCTCCCCAGTGAGTTCCCAATAGCTCATCATGACGTTAGGGGCCTTCATGCTTTCAGGGCTGTTGTCAAGGATACAGCAAAGGATACAGGTGAAGGGATGGATGCACAGGTAGGTTGTGGGAGATTCACTGTGCTTTACGGTCTGTGACAGTCCGATGGCCAGTTAAATCCCTGTAACTGTGGGAGGACGGTGCTTCCAGCATCCTTCAGGTTATGAATAATGATTCATGGGAGTCATGAGATCAGCGTTAGCCAAGCAGACCCTAACTGCAATCTAGGGATAGTCCCTGCTTCCGAGAATACTGGAAGACAGTGTTTCCTGCATTCTTCGGGGTCAGGTCACTGTTAGTCATGAGGCTGCTGTTAACCAACAAACCTCTATAATTATGCAATCTAGAAGCCGTTAGCTTTCATGGCCTGGAAGGAAGGACTACTCTGATGTCATCTCGGTGTCCTGTGCTCCAACTTTTTCAAAGTCACATCTGTGACTGTAAAAGACATGCGGGTTTTCCCCCACGGCAAGGAGCACTCGCTTCTGCAGTGGAAATCATCGGAAGATCCCTCAGGGCAATTCTTTGCTGACACAGCATATCTAGTGGTGTGTTGGATCCCATAGGCTCAGTCTCCCAGGCTCCTGGCCTTAGCAGACCAGTTGTTCTGCCTGCGCTTCCTACAGCTAGCTAACAAGCATGGTCTGCACGGCCCCTCTCTGCCACCATTAAGTAGCTCACATGACCAAGGGAAACATGCTTTCAGGGTCCTCATGAAGAATACACTAAAGGATACAGGCGAAGGGATGCACAGGCAGGTTGTAGGAGAGGCCCTGTGCCTCTGCAGTCTCTGTGGATGCTGCTCTCCAAGAATTTCCGTGCTCAGCAAGCTCTCCAGACCCCTGGGGTTCTCTGGGCGGATTTCATTGCAGAGGCACAATTGACAGCTGTGTTGACCTGTGACTAAATGAAAGGGGTCAGATCAAATGCTAACAAACAGTGAGGAAGCCAGCCAGGCCTGCTTATTCGGCTCTTTTTTTGGCCTCTGTGTTTATACCAGAGTATGGGGTAGGAACCCTTCCAAAATGGGATCTTATAATCTATTATCAAAGTGGGTCAGATAATTTAATTTCTTTATAGCCAGGAGCTCCGAGGTGGAGAAGATTAGAACCTATTTTTAGCTTCTATGACTTCCCTTGGGAGAGGGAAATCCTCACTTCCATGCCTGCCTTGAGTAGAAAAAGCAGATGCAAGGGGCAGGCAGGAGGACACAGAGGAACTGCATCCCAGTCTCCTGAGGCTTGAAGTGCCCCAGTAGTAGTTAAGACACTTAAGTCACAAGAGCTACGGGACTAGTGACCCATGATGACAACTGAAAAATACATGTCCTCTCATCCTAATCCCTGTGTTATCAATGAATGAATGAGACTCCAAATGACTTATTATTTGCCCCCAGGTCTCTACAGAGCTAGATTTCTGCTATTCTTAAGTCTGTATTGTTTTCTAATTCCCAAGAACAATGTATGCAAATTATATGGCAAGGAGATACCAGGGGCATGAAGGAAGAAGTGTCCATTCCCTAGGCCACCAGGATAGGATGCTAAGAAGGATATTAGGCAGGAAGATATATTGGGCAGATAATGCTCCAGTCCCTTAGATAAGCAGGTGGAGTGTTTGGGTCTGACCTGTCCACAGGCTCCATACACTTTACATCCTCTCTAGGTGACATTATGCTTTGTGTAATATAGGTACCATGTGAATAGTTATTTTACTGTTTAGAGCAGTGTGAGTTGTGACCCCTTTGGGGTCGAATATCATATATCCTGCTTATCAGATGTCTATTTACATTACAATCTACAACAGTAGCAAAATTACAGATATCAGATAGCAATGAAATACTCTTATGGTTGGAGTCACCATAACACAGGAACTGTGTTAAAAGGTCACGGCATTAGGAAGGTTGAGAATCACTGGTTTTAGAGAGTAATATTAAGGGTCTGTGCATTCAGTACACATAGAGGGGTTTTAGGTTTTTTCATTATTATTTCATGGTTGGTAAACACAAGTGTAGAAACCACAGATATTGACAGATTAGAACATGGGCATCTTTAGGTAGAGGCCGTTGGGCCCACACCACCACTCAGAGGTCACATGGTGTGAGTGCAAACCTGCCGAGCGTCATACCAGCAGCCAGGTTCCTCTTGACATGCACTCCGTACCTTTAGAGGCCTGTGCCTGTAGAATCAGACTCAGACCACAGCTGTGCCATGTTTGATGTGCACGGTCACCTCTATTACCCTCTCTGTGGCTCGTTTTCTTCACTGTGCAATGAGGACAGTAATATGACAGTGACATCAAATGATTCAAGTACAGTGAACAGTCCATGGCACACTCTACTGGTGGCAAATGCGCTTAGTCTCCTCACCTCTGTCCCAGGCTTGGGAACAAGTCTCTCTTCTTGCTAGCTTTTTTTTTTTTTTTTTTTTTTTTGACTTGAAACTACTCTTGTAGCTATTCTTGGCAATTGTGTTCTACTCAGTGAACTAGGAATTTTTTTAGCCTCACCTGAACACTTACCGTTGAATGGCGGAATGCACAGCCAGCTTCCACACCTGTGGATTCTGCATCCTTGGATTCAACCAACCATGGATAGAAAATAGTCAAGAAAATAAATATGATTGCGCTGAACACATCCAGAGCTTTTCCCTGTCATGAACCCTACACATTCAGAGCTAACTGTCCACAGCTTTGACATCCTATTGGCAGAAGTCACCTGCAGTGAGTGTAAAGTCTACCTGGGTGTGTCCTGTACCCTTTCTATGAGGGACTTCTATGTGCAGATCTGCTGCCCTCAGGGCACCTCTTGAACAGTCCCGCGTGTGCCAAAGGACAGCTGGATTATTGCATCCCCGCTTTGCCTCACGGACAGCACTCTAAACTCTTCTTGCTTGCAGGTTGGTGGTTCGTCAGCACTGCTGAAGAGCAAGGCTGGGTCCCTGCAACCTGCCTCGAGGGCCAGGATGGTGTGCAAGATGAGTTTTCCCTCCAGCCTGAGGAAGGTAGGGGGGAGCTTCCTCCTCACCTGTTATTGGCAGCCTCTGCTCGGGGAGTGATAGCTCACTAGTTCAGGATCCAGAGCCTGTGTGCAGGATGGGAATCGAACTACAGGGCAAGCCTGTACTTCTTCATGGGCTTGTGGGAGCTATCCTCGGTGAGTCTTGCCAAAGCTAAGCCCTCATCCCTTTATGAGACACCCCCCCGCAGCCTGACTGCTGACACCCCACTACTCTCTAATATTCCTGTGGTAACCACAATGCCAAACTGTATTTACTCATTTGCAAAACTTTCAACCCCATGTGTTTAAACACGTCTGATTTTTTTTTCTGCTGGTTTAAGTGTCCCCTTCTGTCTCTCACACACTTCCTTTTCCTGGGGACATTTCATGGTAGGTGTTCTTTGTAGTGATGTCTAACACTCCAGCAATGCCCAATGGTTAAGACTTCCTCTCCCCCTGGAAGCTTCCTAAAGCAGAGTCCCTCAGTGCCTCTGATAGCACACAGAGTGTCTGGGAGTCAGACAGAGTGTGACTCTTACCTCTGCTGCGTAGAGCATAATCTTGGGCCAGAGTTACCTCTCTAAGCCCCAGCCTTCTCTGCTGAATGTGGGAGCAATAGAGATCTGTTTCCCCATCCTCCCAGGGGGTGAGTGTTGTTGGGCTTCAGTGGATGGCTCTGAGGTAGCACAGAGACAAATCAAGAATGTTGGGGAAGGGCATAAAGAGGGAGATCTAGACACCCCAAAGTTACACATCCAAAGATTGCAGTGGCTTGGCATTTAGTTGGATTACAGTGACACTCAGCAGAGTGTGAATGCTCTGCTTCGGTGGCCCTCCAGGAGCTGGGGGCCAAACTAGCACAGGTTACCACAGAGCAAGCTCAGATTAAAGGCATAGTGTACAGGGTAGGCAGCCTGTGTCCCCTTACAGTCTGTTGAGAGCATGCCTGAGAAGGATCTAGCATTTCACAGATGTGGAGCCACACTAAGAAAGGCTGAGATTTTCCCACACAGGCAAGAGCACATTATCCTGCAGGTTAAGCATTTTCTTTCCCGCTACTGTGACGGTGTCTCTGTAGAATCATTCTAGGAATAGGATGACTAACTGAGCACCTCATTTCCCAGCATCTGTCCTCCCCAGGGTGGCTGGGGCTGGGAGTAGACTCAGGAGATCCCTCCTAGGAGAACACTGCTAGGTGCTCCCAGGCCTACAACCCCTGGGAGTATGCTCCTCTTAACTCTGCCTTCTGCCCTCCCTCCACATGCTACTTGGCCAGTTTCCTGGAGGTACTGCTCTCTGCCCCGGTCTGTGGGTCGCCGCCGGACTCTGGGGGACTTGTATGCCATCAGCTGGCGTCAAGGTGCCTACCCTCAGAGATTTCTCTGTCTTTGGTGCTTGGAGCCAAGTCCCTGCATCTGCATGAGCTCCCTGCTGTGGGACTGCCCATAGCCTGCTGCATGTAGAAAAACATGGTCTTGTCAATCTTGTGTGTGCAAGCATGCAGGATGGGGAGGAGTGGGCCTGGGCTATTTGACAGCCTTGGAGCTCGGAGGTGTCCTAGTTTACAAAGGTGCCTAGGTTTTCTATGATGGTGACTGGGCAGCCCTGTTACTTTTAGTAGACTTGTTTGAGTCACGGGAGAAAGTCACATCAGCCAGATACAACCAGGTTGATGGTGAGTGCCTCACACCTGTAATTCTAGCCCATGAAGGCTGGGACAAGAGGACCATGAGTTTGAGGACAGCTTAAGCTACATCATGAGACTCTGGAGAGGGGGGGTTGGGGAGAGAGAGAGAGAGAGAGAGAGAGAGAGAGAGAGAGAGAGAGAGAGGAGAGAGAGAATACTGACTTATATCACAGGAAGGCCTTAACTAGCTCCAAGCAAGGTTGGATGCACCCTCGCCACCTCTGCTCAATTCTGTTTCATTCACACAGTTCAATTCCTTGAGGCACTGGTCCCAAGTCACCAAAAACTCAGATTCTTCTTCAACACAATCACTAGGACTGTCCCCTCCCGCCCCCTGGGTCTTCCCACAGTGTCCCATTCCTAAACCAATCACAGCAGCCAGGCGTTGCAGTACTGTGACTAGACCAGGGACACACGCCGGGGCTCAGCCACCCCTATGGCACGTGGAGGGGCCACCAGCAGAAGGACAGGCTATATTTGCTCAGCCCCTGAGCTCAGGCTGGAGTCTCTCAGCAGTTCTAGCATCCCAGAGCTTGAGAACCCTCCCAGCTGGAGCCTGAGGAGACCCAGGGCTCATGGGTTTGAATGCACTCAGGACCCAGGTAGCCCCTTCCCACCTGAACCACACAAAAGTACTATGCTAGGCTGGCAGAATCCTTCCGTCCTCCCTTCCTCCTATCCCAGCCTGGTGCCTGCCAATTCAGCACAAGAGGAAATAGCTGACCATGCTGAATATAGGATGTATGCCACAGGTCAGCACAGCCCCCTCAGAACTGGTCAGCAGGCCATTTCAATAAATAAATAAACGCCTGTGTGCTTCCACCTCCTCTGCAGCAGCTGGCTGGCAATGGATACCTCAAGTGTTTTCCCAGGAACCATGAGCGCTAAAGCCATAGCTGGCTCAGCCACTCACCTATGGACTGAAATGTCACCTAAGAACTGCCCTCATCTCCTTGCTGGGCTCCTCTGGGTCATGTGAGACCATGTTTCTCTGTGACACTGGAGATGGGAACTGCTCCCTCACTCTCCTGAGCACTGTGCCCAGGGGCCGTGAATGAGCAGGCTCGCTGAGCTGCTGTAGTACCACAGTGGGAGACAGCTCTGAGGGAGGACTGTGGGCTGTAAGGATGGAGCTGTGGCTTGTGAGGAGAGTCGGGTGGGAAGCAACCCAGCATGGTTGGATCAGGGCTGCAACCCAGCCAATAAAAAGTCACCGTCTAGGTGATGAGAAGTGCTCTCTGTCCCTTTCTTGGTGGCAATTTTAGCTTTATCTCTGAACTCTTAATAACTCTTAGTCTCTATCAGCAAGAACTAGAAGGAGCCCAAGGGGCTTAACTGTGTGAGCAAGGTGCACTCTCCCCCACCCCTCCCAGGGTAGTCCTTCAGAACATGCCTCTTCTCTAGACAGAGGCTCATTCATAAAACAATTGCCAGCTTTCCCAGGCACATTCCAGTGCTGGAGGCAAAGATATGACTGAGAGATAGACCAATCCCTGAGATAGACCAATCCCTGTCTTCATGGAGCCCATACCCTCCCACAGGATACAGACTTGAGACAATAGCAAAGGCCGCGTTAGTTAGATGGTAATTCCTGGAATGGGGAGTTAACCTGAGCAAGGGAGACTCGGGGGCTGTGGGTCAGGATGTTGCATGAAGTCATGGACCGTGACCTTGAGGCACAGACTGGCTGGAAACGAGAGTGATTCTTCAATGCTGAGGGGGTCGGAGGGACCTGGGGCTTCTAAGAACTCAGTGGGAGCCTGAGGAACCCAGAAATCTCAGAGAGGATTTCCCTCTGTGTAATTCCAGTTCATAGCCAGCATCCTGGCTCCTCCTGTCTTTTCCTCACCCATCACCCTTTGTCCCTGCAGAGGAGAAGTATACAGTCATCTACCCATACACAGCTCGCGACCAGGATGAAATGAACCTAGAGCGAGGGGTCGTGGTGGAGGTCATCCAGAAGAACCTGGAGGGCTGGTGGAAGATCAGGTAACTACAGACCTCTCCCTGTGGTCGTGGTGGGGGTGGGGGTGGGGGTTTCTGTGTCTCTCATGAGCACCAGCTTCACAGAGTCTGTGAACAGCTACAGACAGGTGACACTTCTGCCTCAGGCATGAATACACCTTGCTGTAGTCTGGCCTTCTTCCCTGCCCACATCCTTTCTGTAAAGTTCAAGCAGACAAGACTTCTGAGCTTCTTAAGCCTCAGAGAAGAGAGCGCTATTGTATGTTTTACAGCATAGCCTGGGCGTACAGAGGGCCACTCTGTCAAGTCTGTATAAGCACACTGTGGTGTTGCCAGAAGCCATCCAATAAAGCATTTCTCAGAAATCACTCCAGCATTAAATGGCGTGTGACTGTCACAGTACCATAACACAGACTAACACACCCTGGAACCTCACAGCTGTGGAGTTCAGGAGGGTCTCAACATGGCTCAGACTTTGAGGCAGTTGTCAGGATAACTGTAGGGTCATCTGAGGCTGGGAAGTATTGGAACCCATGCCCTCCTCACCCGAGCTGGCTCATCCTCCATTTTGTGCTGCCTGTGCTGCTGCAGCTTTGTGCCCCAGCAATGTCCAGAGGATGTGTTGCATTTTCAACTAGCTGTTTCCACTTAAAGCAAGACTTATTCTCTCTGAGAGGGCCTTTTGAGTTTGACAAATGCTTGATTGTATAGATTTCTAGCTCCTTGTAAATTTGCCTCCAGTTACAAATGACCAGGCCATTTCATTTTTAAAGTTCTTTCTCTTCTCTTTTCCTTCCTTCTTCCCTTCTTCCCTTATTCCTTCCTTCCTTCCTTCCTGTCTTTTTGAAAGGGGGCTGCTATACATAGAATGCCTGTCCTAGAACTCACTCTGTAGACTAGGCTGGCCTCAAATTTGCAGAGATCTGCCTTCCTCTGTACTAGAATAAATGTGTACGTCACCACACCTGCTCTTCGTCACCACACCTGCTCTTCGTCACCACACCTGCTCTTTACCTGGTTCTTTTTCCTTTTTTTTTTCTTTTTCTCTTTTTTTCCTTTTTCTTTTTTGTTTTTGTTTTTGAGACAAGATTTTTGTGTAGCCTTGGCTGTCTTAGAACTTACTCTGTAGACCAGGCTGGCCTGAACTCAGAGGTCTGCCTGCCTCTGCCTCCCGAGTGCTAGGATCAAAGGTCTGCATCATCACTGCCTGACTTCTTTACGTGATTCTTAAGGAGATTTGGCTCTGCCATATGTCATAACTAGTTAGCTGGGTTTATTCCTCTTTCCCCAAAGGTATGGACACCTGTTTGGAGAGGTACTGGTACTAGCAGCTCCTGGTGGGGTTGGCTGATCTCCATGGTGTAAATACCTGTCTTGTGGCCACTTTCAAGTCACCAATGAAATGCCACTAAATGAGGAGTTCAGAAGATACCTGTGCAGTGGGCTCTCGTGAGCCAGGGAGCAGTTGCTCCATCTTAGGTCCAAACAGACCTCACCCAAGACTCGTCATGTGAGAGTCAAGTGATTGTTGCCCTCACCGACACCCTTGTTAGGGACAGTGAGCTGGTGTGTCAGAGTCCCTGTCATTCTTCAGTGCAGTGGCAGCCAACATGGAACTACTACATCATTCATGTCTCAGTATCTGTGTCACCCAGCCCAGAACCCTGTTCTGTCAGTGTGAGGCTTTGCACCAGGAGCAGGGGCCTGCCAGGAAAGGGCCAAGAAGGACAAGTTAAGAGATCCAAGTCCATCCCTGCCACAGACTTGCTTGTAAACCCGAGTGAGGTATTAATACCAATGGGTCCCAGGCTTCTTGTCTTTAAAACAGATGCCAACTGCAGATGAAAATCCCTTACCTGAAATGCATGGACCAGAAGTCTTTGGGATCTGGGATGTTTTCATCGTTGAGGAATGTTTCCTATGTGCAATGCGATGTCTTGGATTTGGGGAGGGCCACTGGTAAACCCAAGAATCACTGTGTTGCATATATGGCGTATACACACAGCCAGAAGATGAGTTCATGCAAGTCTAATGCAGCTGCATTTTGACTGTGATCCATCCCATGAAGTCAAGTGTGGAATTTTCCGTTTGTGGTGTCACACTGGTGCCCAAGAAGCTTCGCTGGGAGACAGGGGCCATCTTGCTGAGGTTGGGTGGGTTCAAACACACTAAGAGCTGTAAAGTGCTTAGGGCAGGACTGACAGAGTAGGTGCCGAGAGTGCTGGCTGTCACTGTCATGGCCATCACCGTCACAGTGGTGCCTCAAGAGGACAGCTCGGATGCAGAGCTTTCCTACTGTTCGCCCACAGTACAATATGCTCATTGGCAGTTTGTCCCCTTGCCCTTTTGTTTCTTCATCGAATTCACCAGTACCCAAAGGCTTGTACCCAGGGGCTTGTGTTCTAACTAGGAGACAGGAAATCCACAGCCAGATGCACCTCGCAGGTACGGGGATTACAGAGTGTGCAGAAACCAGAGGATCGTCATGGAGATTGGGCCTCGTTTGAGGGTTAGAAGAAGACTCAATGTCATTAAGTAAAACCGGGAGAGAGAGGGAGGAGCTTGTTAGGTAGAGACCCATCAAGAACCGTGCTGTGGAGAGGCGACTAGCAGTGTTGCATTTTGGAGACTTCAGGTGAAGGAAGCGTGTGGGACATGGTGATTGTTAAGAGAAGCAAATGGAGAGCAGGTGAGGCGGGCCTAGAAGTCCAAGCTGAAGGCTTAGGCATCATCAGAGGGCAATGAACTGCATGGAGCCTTTGGCCCACAACAGTTTGAATTCAATGTTCTACCATCCTGGACCAGATGTATAGAAGCATGGCTTCATCCCACCCCTTCAACCCCCAAAAGCTCCACAGGACCAACCTGACCAGAATCCTTCCCCTTCCTCCCAGGTTCCAGGGCAAAGAGGGTTGGGCCCCTGCTTCCTACCTAAAGAAGAGCAGTGGGGAGCCCTTGCCCCCAAAGCTGGGCCCCAGCTCACCTGCTCACTCGGGGGCCCTCGACCTGGATGGTGTTTCCCGGCAGCAGAATGCTATGGGCAGGGAGAAGGAGCCGCTCAACAACCAGAGGGATGGCCGGTTTGAAGGTCGCCTGGTGCCGGATGGTGATGTTAAACAGAGTGAGTGACGCCTACCCTGGCTCAGACAGCTGAGGTCTGAGTTTAGACGACCTCCTTGTAGCATACCTGACATCTCATGATATCCTGAAGAGAACATGGAGACTTTGGGTAACTCACAAGACCCCTGGACTAGCAGATCACAGGATCTGAACAGTGTAGTGTTCCTTCCCTAGATTGTTCCATTGTGTCACGATCAAGCACCTGGTGTGTGTCAGAAATCTCCTGATTAGCTCACTGGCTTCTCCTTTGAGGGACTGCTTTTTTTTTCCGGATAAAAACCTGAGAAATGAGACCAAGGCTCTTCACCTGGTAACGGTGGGCCTGGGGGTCGAACCAAGGCCTACACCCCTCTAGTGTTCTCCATGGCCTCATATGTGAACCAGAGGGAGAAAAACTGACCCCGTGCTGGGTTTGCTTCACCCATTTTGTATTTCAAAGCTTCCCCATTTATATTTTATTAATTGTATCCCCACACACTAAGAGTGAGGTTACCCATAGCTGTTTGCATTGTGCCTGGAACTGTGTCCCCAGTATCCTGTGCTGGTCCTGAGGGCAGCGAGAATCTGTGGAGAAAGGACTCCACTCCTCACAGAGATGGGGGCTGAGTTTCATGCTCTCTGCCCAAGCCTAAGTGTCAAGAGCTTCATGACTGCTCCAGGACATAGCAGGGGTTCTGGCCAGTCCCCAGTCCTGTGATTCTGGTCTCTCATGGTCAAGAGCATAGTCCACTAATAGTAGGGGACCAAAATAAAATCTGAAGTAATGTCACTCTGTTAGGACGTTCATATGTTAAATCAAAGTCTCCTCCCCCCGACACACACACCTTGATTAACAGTGGCTCATTTGATTGAGAGACGCATTCCCATTCTACGCAACAGAGTAAGTGTGTGTCTACAACTGAGACGATACTTCCATACAGTCAAGAGTCTTGGTCTCCAACATCTGTTTTGTGTTACCCTCAGCATCCAGTGTGGCCCATCACCGTCCAGCCAGTGAAAGGCAGGGAGGTGACATAGCACAAGTGCCCCACCCTCCCTCATGCTCTGCTGGACATATTCAGTGGCAACATTAAGCAGCAAGGAAGTCTAGACACGGTAGTCCTTATGGAGAAACTAAACGTCTTGGCTAAGACTCAGTATTCTCTAGTATAGAAGACAAGCCAACTCCTGCTGCCAGGGAGAGGTAGCTATCCGTTAGGCTGTCCCACAGAAAAGGACCGATGGCTCAGAGTCAAACAGTAATTTTGTCCTATGCTGGGAGCTCATGAGTTTGGGCCCAGCCCTGTGTAGCTCTGAGTCCATGGTTTTTGCTCTGGGTGATCAGCCTCCCACTACTTGGGGATCGGTGCCAATCGTCTATTGGAATATAGAAAAGGTCCAGGGGAGGTCATGGTGATGGAGGGTCTCGAGACAAGCATGAGGAGAGCATAGCCAGGCTGTTCTCACATGTGGCTCCTGGACAGAGAGGGGAGGGAATGAGACCCCACCTGGCTCCCACAGCTGGGAATCTGTCTGTGGACCTCTGCATGCGAATGAACTGGGGTCTTGTTTCCCCATAGGATCACCAAAGATGAGGCAGAGACCCCCTCCTCGCCGGGACATGACCATTGTAAGTACACACTTGCCCCAGAGCCTCACCTCCTTGGCTGGGGCTTGGCTGGGACACCACAGACTCTCACATATTCCAGTGCTGTTCAGGCAGTTCTTCCTGACAACAGAGTAACCTGTGTGTAGCATGCCCAAGGTTAGACACAACACAGGTTTATCTGTGGTGACATTCTGGTATTCTGATCTATTTTTAACTCTAAAGTCCATTTACTTATTTATGTAGAGACAGAGTCTCACTATATAGCCCTGGTTAGCCTGGAATTCTCTGTGTAGACCAGGCTGGCCTACAACTTACAGAGATTCGCCTGCCTCTGCCTCCTGGATGCTGGAATAAATGGTTTTTGCTGCCATGCCCTACCTGTAGGTACCTTTTTAACCAATATAGGCTGAGCATCCTTAATCCAAAAATCCAAACTGCTTCAAAATCTTGACACTTTGAACACCAAAAGTGGAAACAAAATTCCATACCTGACCTCACGTGACAGATCACAGTCAAAATACAGGCACACTAGAAATACCGTAAAAAGCTCTACCCTGGCTAAATACACATGAAGCATAAGTGTATTTTGTGTTTGAACTTGGATCCTGTCCCTAACGTGGCTCACTATGTATACAAATATTCAAGTTGTATAACACTGGTGATCACAAGCAAGTTGGAAAGGAGTTGCTTTGGAAAGGGGCTCTTTGAAAGTATCTGCCATTTCTTGGGTATCTGTCCAGCACCATAAATATGCCTGGTGAGTCACCCAGTAGCATATTTAATGGTCATAGCAGTTGTACCAAGGCAGTAATGTTAGGATACCCATTCTACAGGAGATGAATTGGAGGCTTGGCATGGCCCTTCACTGGCATTCCAGCCCACCTTGGTCAAATTCAAAGACCTGAGGTCTTCCCACAGCCTCACTGCCTCTGACATTTAGACCCTTTTGCCTTTTCCCAAGTTCTCACCATGTGCCCAGATGTTGCTGGTAACTGTAAAGTTGAAGGGCCAGGGGACCTCAACTAGGAGGTGACAGTCAAATCCTCTTGGTTTTGTCCCTCAGAAGCTAATTGGGCTTCCTAGCACCCCTTGATGTTGTGTACCCCCTCGTCCCTTCATGCCACCCTGACTCAGTCAGCCCTGTGTGTAATCCCATCAGCCTCGAGGCCTCAACCTGCCGAAGCCTCCCATCCCGCCCCAGGTAGAAGAAGAGTATTACACCATCGCCGAGTTCCAGACCACCATCCCAGATGGCATCAGCTTCCAGGCCGGCCTGAAGGTGGAGGTGAGCACCTGCTGCTATCCTTCCTTCTAGGCACTGGCTTCTCTCGTCTCGCCTCCTGTGGGGGAGGGGAGAGGAGGTTAATGGCTTTATTAAGTTGTGATTATGTCTTCATAGTCACGTCCCAAACTGTTTGCCACTTTGAGTGTTCAAGTCGTTGGTTTCTTTTCTTGGGAGTTGTGTAACCACACTCCGGTTCCAAAGCCCTTAGCAGGAACCCTGTCCTACCAGCGAGCACTGGTCTCCCTTCTCACATCAACCCACCCTTACCTTCTGACTAGAAGTGGGGTTATACAATATATATGGCTGTCTTAGTTTGGGTCTTATTACTGTGAAGAAACAGGATGGCCAAGGTAACTCTTCTAAAGGCAAACATTTAATTGGGACTAGCTTAACCATTTCAGAGGTTCAGTCCATCATCATCATGGCAGGAAGTATGGCAGCACGCAGGCAGGCATGGTGCTGGAGAAGGAGCTGGGAGTTCTGCATCCTGATCTGTAGGTATCCAGGAAGAGACTCCTTCTGCCAGACTTTGAGCATACATACGAGACCTCAAAGCCAACCCCTCATTGACATATTCCCTCCAACAAGGTCATACCTACTCCAACTAGGCCACACCCACTAATAGTGTCATTCCCTGTGTGCTAAGCGTTTAAACAGTCTATGGGGGCCAAACCTATTGAAACCACCACAATGGCTGTGTGTGGCTGGCTTATATTTCCTTTTCTTTTTTTTAATTTTTAATTATTTTTATGTGTATGGGTGTTTTGCCTGTGTGTATGTCTGAATAGCACATACCTAATGTCTGTGGAGGCCAGAAAAGGGCATCAGATCCCTGGGTACTGGAATTACAGACAGTTGTGAGCTTCCATGTGGATGTTGGAACTGAACCTGGGTCCTCTGGTAAAACAGCCAGTGCTCTTAACCTCTGAGCCATGCCTCCAGCCCCTCTCTTACATTTTAAGACAATGTGTTTATTGTGTGTGTGTGCACACATGGCACTCACAGTTGCCACCTACAGTTTCCCATCCAGAAACAGTACCTAGGACAGAAGCTAGCCAGGCTGGCTGTTTGTGTCGTGTCTTCCTAGTTACACCCCAGTCACGTGCGTGATCCCTCCCACACCTCCCTCAGTGCCACGCCCAATGTCTCTTAGCCTTTGTAGATCTCTGTGCCCTCTGAGAAACTATGAGGAGTCACCTAAGGACCCACCTTTCCCCATGCTTTCCTCTGAGCTGGACTGCAAATCCACCGCTTTCCTCCTTGAATGTGCTGCATGAAGACAGCTATCCATTCCTTCTTGAAACCAGAAGCCCACAGTGTAGGCTATGAAGGGCTTCTCCCATGGAGAGCTGAAAAAGCACTGTGTGGCTTTAATGGCTTTTATGGGCTGGGGGACAGCTCTGTGGTAGCTCATAGGTCAGGTGTTCACACATGGACTCTGGATTCGATTCAAGAAAGGAAGCTCGAGATTCTTTGACCGTGTATTTCCTACAGTTTCTACTAACACACAGGGCTGAGCAGTAAGCACTGCCACACAGGCTCAGAATGCAGCTCAGATGCTGCCAGGGATCCTTGGGATTTCAGCAATGCACTGGAGGCACTGGAACCGGATGCAGCTGCATGCAGCAGGGTGTGAATGGAGGTGTCACATTGTTTACTTTTCTGACCCTTCTCTATTCTTGCTCAAGCTGGTCATATCCATCTCGCTTCTCTCTGACCCTATCAGTGTAGCACTAGCTGTCCTGGAACTCACTGTGTAAACCAGGCTGACCTAGAACTCACAATGCTTGCTTCTGCCTCCAAAGAACTGGGCTGAAAGGCATGCATCATCCCCAGCATGTCAAGCATTCTTTAACAGAATCATAGCTACCACCCACATCGAGACTTCTGCTTTACGCTCCCAAGATGTTGATAGCCCCGCCGTGGAGTTTTGAGGGTATGATTACCAGGAAAGCTTGGGGCTCAATCAGCTGTTCTTTTGTGTAATGAGCTCCATACACTGGCTTCCTTTTTTCCTCTTTTGCTGTCTGGTTCATATCTACGTCATCTCAGGCCTCCGTTCTCATTGTAGAGGCTCCTGCCAGCCAGGCATGGTGTCAGCTCATGGTCTGCACTTTCAAACATGTCTTCTGATGGCAGTATGGTGGCAGTGGGTACTGATGGGGTAGGCATTTCTTTGGCATCTTACCTACTTGCTAACTAGGCTGACGGGAGGCCTGGGCAATCAATATCAGCCTGTTTTACAGATGAGACTCAGAGGGAGTGGGTAAATGCTTGTCTAAGGGTAGAACCAGTAAGGGGTGGGGCAGGGACTTGAACTGTGGTCTGTCTAGTTTCAAAGCCCAGGCTCTTTCCTTTTCTCTCATTCCTGTGACTTTGCATGTTTCCTTCATCACAGCACATGGCTACTCTCTATAAACAAAATCATGATTAACGGCCCACACAGGAGATAGGCGTGGCCAGGCTCACCTCTAATCTCTGCACTGAGTAGGCAGAAGCAGACCAACCTCTGTGAGCTGCTGTCAACCTCGTTTTCATAGAAAATTCTGAACCAGCTATGGCTGCACAGTGAGACCCTGTCTCAAAAGAAAAAGCAAAACTAGACAAAATCTGAATGGCAAGAGTTTCTGCCACCGTCCTTTTCCTTGGGAATCAGTGTGACAAAGCCACGCTGATAACTTCTCCTCATGATCGTCTGTTTGCCTTCCCTCACGGTTTCTTAGTGTTGGAGTTGAATTGCTGATGAAGGCTGTGTGTCCGGCAGTGCCACTGACTGTACCCAGCACTGCCGAGTATTATAACAGACTGGTCACCTGTTTGTCACTCCTGCTAGCCTCACTCTGTCCTGCCTGTCCAGCACATCCTTGTCTCGGCCGCCTTCCCTGTAATCTAATGTAACACGTAACGAGTGTGTTTGCACTCTTTCACTAAGACAGCGGTGCCTTGGCTTGTTTGAACATTAGCAAACCTTGCTACTCTCGTCGTCATTCATGTGGCGGACCTCTGAGCTGATACCCAGGACTCTGCATTCACAAGTTGGGTCTCCTGGTGCCGAGTCTGGGGCTGCTGTCCTTGCTGCCAGGCCTCGGTCCTTATGACTCCTATGGCAGTTTCTCGGGCCAGGCACTGCTCTTCCTGAGGGGCAAAGGCAGACAATACCCAGCTGCCTGCCCTCCCCCATTCACCCTCCTCAGAACCCCTGCCCATTCTCTGCTCTCCTGGGGTTCTGTCCTGCATCTGTAGAATGGGATGATAATCCCTGGATCACAGGGCTGTCTTGAGCATTAGCTTTCCTGCGTCCAGAACCTGCCTGGGAATCCCAAGTGTTAGTTTTCTAGGACTGCCACATTCCAACATACCCAGATGGGCTGGATTAAACACAGTGATTTTCCTTCTTATGGCACTGGAGCTGAAGTCCCAGGTCAAGGTGCCTGGTGGGTATCTCCTGTGGCTTCTTTCCTTAGCATACAGATAGCCACCCTCTTGTTATGCTGTCACACACATAATCTCCGCTCTGGATTTACAAATCTCAGGCCTGCTTTTATGACCCATTTCCACCTAGTTGCCTCTTTAAAGACCCTGTCCAGATGCAAGGACATCTGGAGTACTGAAGGTGAACACTTCATGTAGGGACTCAAGAGCACGCTTCAGCCTGTCTCACACTGTTTACGTAACTGTTCATCTCCAGTAATTCACTTGGATGATACTAGACCCAGGAGACATCATATCTTAAATAACATCATCAATTTCAGTTCAGGAACACCACCGTTCAGTTCAGTGGGTGTACAAAACAGGAAGAGATGCCGATAAGAGATAAAACTCATCTTATTCCACCAGGTTTAGTTGCCCTGAATGTAAGCATAGCACATCATTGACCTGAGGGTTTTCCTGTGTTTAGAGATTCCTATTTTTCATATGGCATAGCTGCTATAAACACCAGACACTAAGTGTTTTTCCTGTCCCCCTTCCAGGTGATTGAGAAGAGCCTAAGTGGTTGGTGGTACATTCAGATGGACGACAAGGAGGGATGGGCCCCAGCGACCTTCATTGACAAATACAAGAAGACCAGCAGTGCCTCGAGGCCCAACTTCCTGGCCCCCTTACCCCACGAGATGACTCAGCTTCGGCTTGGGGATGCAGCTGCAACTGAGAACAATACTGGTCCAGAAGCAGTGGGGCCCTCCAGACCCCTGCCCGAGGCACCGCACGGTGGTGTGGACTCTGGGATGCTCTGGTCCAAAGACTGGAAAGGAGGAAAGGAGGCCCCAAGAAAGGTCTCTTCAGACCTGTCTGCGTCAACAGGATATGAGGAGATCTCAGACCCCACACAGGAGGAGAAGCCAAGCCTCCCTCCACGCAAAGAGTCCATCATCAAGTCTGAAGAGGAGTTACTGGAGAGGGAGAGACAGAAGATGGAGCCACTCCGGGGCTCCTCCCCCAAACCCCCTGGCATGATTTTGCCAATGATTCCAGCCAAGCACGCCCCGCTGGCCCGGGACAGCAGGAAACCAGAGCCCAAACCTGACAAGAGCAAGTTCCCACTGAGAAATGACATGGGGTTAGAGTGTGGCCACAAGGTGCTGGCCAAGGAAGTGAAAAGACCCAACCTCCGGCCTATCTCCAGGTCCAAAGCTGAGCTGCCCGAGGAGAAGGTGGAACCCACCCCTCAGAATCTGTTCTTGAAGTCTAGACCTCAGGTTAGGCCCAAACCAACTCCTTCCCCCAAGACAGAGCCAGCTCAGGGTGAAGACCAAGTGGACATCTACAACCTTAGGAGCAAGCTCAGACCTGCCAAGTCCCAAGAGAAAGCCTTATTGGATGGAGAAAGCCACCATGCTGCTGGGGGCCATGACACAGCCCTCAGCCGGAGCTTCCTTCCCGGGGAGGGACCTGGCCGTGGCCAGGACAGGTCTGGCAGACAGGATGGGCTGAGTCCCAAGGAGACACCCTGCAGAGCCCCTCCCAGGCCAACCAAGACCACAGACCCTGGGCCCAAAAATGTGCCTGTGCCTGTGCCAGTGCCTGTCCAAGAAGCAGCCCAGCAAAGACCTGTGGTCCCACCTCGGAGACCCCCACCCCCCAAGAAAACCTCCTCATCTCCATTGTCCTGCAGGCCCCTCCCAGAGGTCAGAGGGTCACAGCGTGAAGAAAGCAGAGCCGTTCCTGCTGCAAGCCGGGCCCTCCTTGTCCCTCCGAAAGCCAAACCCTTCCTCTCCAACTCCTCAGTGGGCCAAGATGACATTCGAGGCAAAGGTGGGCTGGGGCCACGCATCACTGGCAAAATGGGAGAAACCAGAGAGAAGGCAGCTTCCTTCCTCAATGCCGATGGCCCAAAGGACTCACTGTATGTGGCTGTGGCCAACTTTGAAGGAGATGAAGACACCAGCAGCTTCCAGGAAGGGACAGTGTTTGAAGTCCGGGAGAAGAGCAGCAGTGGCTGGTGGTTCTGCCAGGTCCTCAGTGGGGCTCCTTCCTGGGAAGGCTGGATTCCTTCCAACTACCTCCGGAAGAAACCCTAGCGTCCCTGCCCTGCCCGGAGACCCCAGGGACCCTGCCGCTGTCCCTGCTGGCCTCCCCCACGTATTTAATACGCATCTTAATTTATCAGTCTTCACACCGTTTCAAGGAAGGCGGCCATTGGAGTGCTGTGGCTCCATCCCTGCCAGGGTGGAGAATGCTTGGTGCAGAGATGTCCTGTAGCCTGGGTCTGGTTCTCCTGTTGTGGCATCCCCAGAAGTCTCAGAAGCCACCGTCTTTGCTAGGTAGAAACCACGTTACAATCCTTGTCTATAGTAGAACCCATCCTCCTAGACAACGTCTTGTCACCTAGAAGCAGGACAGTGACACTCACAGACCTCCAGAGCTGACACCAGTTGCCTGCAGGACTTTCAGACCCTATACCTCGGTGCTCAGTTGTGGCATAGAGGGACAGCCTCCACAGCCTGTGACAGCTTGCTCTAACTTCTCTGTGTTACTAGAAGCCCAGTAATGGCTTTGTTCACTGTTCCCAGAATACCTGGTGCCAGGAAGAACCAAGTCCCGAAAGAATCAGCTTCTGGGTTTTCTGCTTCTAAGTGCTGACCAGATGCAGCTGCCCTGAAGTGGTTCTAGAGATTCACTCGGTCATCCTGCCTCCTGTCTGCCTTGGACAGCGATCAGTCCTAAAGGAGCATGCTTCACTTCACTGCTGAAGCCTCTGGTCCATCCAGGGCTTTTAAATTCCAATTTGTGCCCACCTCCCTCAATCCCTAGAACAAGAGTCTCCACCTTTGTTTAAGTAAGGGGGCCAGCCCTTCATGAGGGACACAGTCTGTGAGTGCTTCTTTGCCCAGTAGGTGCCAAACTGTCCTTGGCCTTCTGCTTTCATGTTCCAACCGTCAACCAGCTGCCCCCGTTCTAGTGCACCCATTTTCTAGATGAGGAAACTGAGGCTCTACAGGCCCCAGGACATGCTAACTAGGAGGTGGCTGGAGGAAGCTTGAGTCCAGTCCTGCCTGATCCCAGTACCCATGCCCTTCTCCCTGCAAGAACAACCAGTGAGGGAAGAGATGGAGGTTGACTATGTAGCAGGGTAGGTGGCCTGGGGGCTTTCTTATGTCATGAGCAAAGGGACGGTAGTGACTGCCCTGGACTCACAGCTGCTTCTGCAGGACAGAGTATACCCTGGATCCTCAGTAGCTGGTACAGAGCTTATAGCCTGGTGCCCCATGTGTGGGAGAGGAATAAAGGAAGTTGAGGCACTGTCCCTCCGTGGCTTGAAGGGGACTGCTGGCTAAGGATCAGCAGCTGGGTCTGTACCAAACTAAGAACAACAGTAGCCAAGGTCCTGCAGTCTCCTGCCTCAGCACCTGCTGCTTCCTGTAGAATAGTTCGCTTTTTAGCGTGCTCTTTCCCTGGGAGGAATCCAGGGTAGCCCTTCCCTATTTTGACCAATAGACAGCTAAGGCCTCAAGAGGTCCGCTTAGTTATTGCAGAGCTAAAATCAGGACCCAGATTTCTAGTTCCCAGCCCAGCCCAACTTGTACCTATGAACGGGCTTTCTGAAAAAGTGGGGTGGGGTTGGGAGGACAGAGTTCCATCCCATCCCACAGTCCCTGCAGAAGAGACAGCCCTGTCCTGTTCGACGCTTACCCCAGTGCTGATTTTTACTGTGATTTGGGAGCCACGAAGCCCCCTTTCCCAAGATGCTTGCATCTTACTTGTAGTGCCAAAGATTTTGTGCAAGCAGATCCCCTCTGCACCCCACCCCTTCCCGGGCCTCTCTGCTTTCCTCTGAACCATCGTGGCACCGGCACTCTTTTCCTCTGCTCAGCCTGCAGTCTCCCCAAGGCCCCCCAGCACTGGGCCTGGGTAGGTGGCACCTGAAGGAGTGTGCTTAGTCTGTGTCCTGGGCCTCAGAGGAAAGCAGCAGTTAAGGAGAGGAGGAGGCTGAGTCTTCAGCTCTGAAGCAGCACTTGAGAGCCTCATGCTCACACCCACACTGTGCAGGAAGCCTCATGGTTTTTTTGTTTTGTTTTGTTTTGTTTTGTTTTGGCGGTGGTGGTTTTTGAGTTTCGACACCTTCACTTGAACAGCTGGTTTACAGGTCTTTGAAGAGGCCACGGGGGTTTTTTGGTTGTTGCTGTTGCTGTTTTGTTTTTGTTTGCACTTGGCTCTCTGTAACCTTCTCAAGTATTTTACAAGTCCCTTCTATGCCGCAGATGCTGGGTAGACCAGGGAGAGGGAGAGGCATCACCCTGTGCTGAAGAACTGAGCTTTGCCTACTAGCTCCACTGGAGAAGTCATCTGCCTCCTCCCTCCTCTCTCCTCAGCTGAGGTGGAACAGGCAGGTCTGCCTTCCTGTGGACAACGAGAGAATTTGCCTTTTGTCCTATCCTTGTGCTGATGTGAACTGTAGGTGTGTCGGGTGCCCTCTCTGTTCACCCTCCTTTCCTTGGGTCCCACACACAGCCTGAAGATGTCTGTGGCCACCACCCACCATCCGCCACAGTGCTTATCACTGTCCTGGGCAACTGGAAGCCAGTGGTCTGCAGAGCCAGGTCACTCACCCAGTTTCCCTTGCCTGCGACTTAGCTTTTCAACACCCAGGACTGTGGTCACTCTTCTGGGAGTGGAGCATATGCCAGACTCCCCTCCATCCCTGCCGAGGCCATGATAGAAATGTCTGGGCCAATCACAGATCAGATCACCAACACAAACCTGTGCCCCTCCCCCACCCCACACAACTAACCTTCACATCAACTCTGTTGATGTGATGACAGGGACCACCCCAACATATGTAATGGGAAAGTTAAGGTGTGGAGAGTGAAGTCACATCCCGTCTCGTCCAGTCCAGGTATGGGCTACTGGCAAAGAAATGGTACAGTGCTTTCGGGCAATCAGGTGACCCAGTCTCTGAATTTAGGTGTCTCTCCCACAATCCAAACATTGGTCATAGGCAAGATGGCTCCTTTTGGATGGACCCTGTTCTCTGCCTCCATGATTGCATTGTTTCTGCCCAAGAGTAAGTCTAGTACCCTGGCCTCTGGAAACCTAGGCTTGAAAACAGCCGCTTGCTAGATCCAGACTTGGCTTATATTTTTGCCATTTATGTTTAATCCATGACCCAAGGCTGAGGCCAGGGGAGGTCTGTGCTCAAGCTACTTCCCGTCCTGCCAGGAAATGGCATACCTGGCGCTCACAGTCTGTTTTTGAGCCTCTGCCACCAGACTGCCCCATAGAGTTAACTTCTATGGCACAGTTCCTGATCTTAAACTGTTTCCGAACCCACTGGGGACTTGGGGATTGGGTAAAGAACAGGTGCCAAATCTTCCCCAAGAACTTAGGACAGTCTATTGTTTATCACCAAATTCCTGCCCTTAGCGAGAGGAAGAAACTGTCCTTACCGTCTAAGAAGAGCAAGCTGGAGATATAGTACAGCCAGAAAGCTTTGGCCCGTGTTGGGGGGGGGGGGGAACTCCTTCCCCAGCATCACAGATAAACAAGAACCTTAACAGCTTAGTTCCTGTCCTTCCACTGAGCCCCGGGCTCTTCAGTGTCTACTGAGTCTGTACCCTGGGAAGCATTTCTTTGAACAGTGTGGCCATCTCAGCCCCTTCACTGGCTGTCTAAACTTCCCTTCAGGGTTTTTCCTGTATACTACAGACAACCATATCCTACCACAGACCAAAGATTCCCTGAAGTCAGAGGGGCGTGGACTGAATGGGTAGGAAATCAATTTGTATCAAGACCTGAGGGTTTGCCTTTGCCTGGAAAAATTGCTCCTAACTTGCTAAGGTTCTAGTGTCAGGACTGACCCGACCCCAAGCAGAGATGTATAGTTAAGACAATGGTTCATACTCCTCACCTGCTGAACAACCGTCCCCCAGACCAGACCTCCCTGCTCTAGGGAGTGATACCTGGTCCCCGGTGCTATCTAGTTGGAGTCCCAAGCCCCTCATGTGTGAGGGTTCCATCTTCTTCCCTGTCTCCATACTCCTCCTCCCAAGTAAGCCCCCTTAGCTCCCATCAGAATGAAGGCTTAGCTTTTGCCCTTCAAAAGACCAGACCCGGTGCCATCGCCAGTGGCCTTCCCTCTCACTTCTGTGCTTTTAAGAGCAAAGGTGCCCCACCAGGCTTACTACAGCAATAAGCAATTGTAATGCAATGGAGGTGCCCGCATTATGCCCGCAATGCCTTTGTGCCCTGTAATTACTAGTAGCACCTCTCTTACATACCAGGGAGTGTGATAAACTGTGGTTACCTTAGCCATATGTGGTTCCTGTTTCAGGGCCACTGAGGAGCTGGGTTGCTTCTAACATCCCTCCAGAAACAGTGGGCTCTAGACAGCGTGGCCCACTGCATTCATGTACCCACAGCTGGTGCTGGGGACTCCCGGGTTCTCAGCCCTTCTCACACCCCCCTAGGCCAACTGACAGGTCCTGGTGGTGGCTTTTATTTCCCGGGAGTGTTTAATGTGAGGGGGCAGGGGGTGAACACCTAGCTGTAGCATGTAGAGAGTGTACCATTAGACTTTTCTTTTTTAAAAAATAATAAAATGCTTGACTGGTTTCAAGCTTCGTTGTAAAGATGGAGTGTTTGTGGATTTTATCTGGCTGAAAGAGATGCATGCCCTGGTGTCTGGACTTCATGTCCTGGTGTCTGGACTTGAGCTCTTTACATCTGAAGAAGAAAAATAAACGGAAGTTGTTCAAGCATTGCCCAGAAATAGGAGGAATTCTTTCCTGGGCCTTGGCAAAAGATTGAAAGTCTTACATATGCTGGAGGGGGCAGACAAACCCACAAGGGAAAGGCACCTTATATTTGGGGAGTGTCTCGATTTTACCTAAAGAGTGTCACATGTCCAAGGAGTCTTGCTCCTACTGACACTGTCTTCTGGTGAACAACAGTATAGGAAAGTAGGGAAAAGGGCAGCCATAGTTGGGCTAGAGAACAGTCCAGGTTCTCTGCTCACGGAGGTATTTATTAATTTCTCAAAGGCAGAACCAAGGCAGTATTGGAAGGAAACCCAAGGTCATTTGTCACCCTCCAGCCTAGCATTTATGGAGCCCCCATTTTAGCATTTTTCATAA